GAGGATCAGAGCATGGGACCCAGGCCAAGACCCTCCTTGTCCAATTCTAAGCATAGAAATGCCTCTCTGAGTTTGTCTCTCCATCTGTAAAAAGGGGATATGAATAGACCTTCCTCCACAGAGCTACTCTGTTAAACGAGTCAACGCATAGAAGTTCATGACATAAAGTAAGTGGTTAATAAATGCCAGTTATCATTGTAAAGAATATAAATGGACAGAGACCTAGAAACCAAGCCAGAAGGAGAAAACATTTCTGACACCCTTGACCTTTAAACTAATCTAGGTTTAGGTTTGCTTCCCTGTTTTAGAAATAACCTGGAAAGGATCCATGTTCCCATCAGGCTGGGCAAAGTAGGACACGGAACTCACTGAGGGAAGGGTTCTGGGTGACAGGTACAGGCCTTTCCCCCAGAGTTGGGGTCACTGACAAGCTCAGGGGCAGGCCTGTGGGGCACTGGGAGGACTGTGGAGCCCAGAGGGGGGTCTACGAGATCCCTAGAAATTGTGATCTCCCCAAAGAACTCTCACCACACCCTTAGAGCTGGGAAGGTAGGGACATGGGATCTGGCTGAGAGGTTCTATTTTTTGGTAGCTTCCAGTTCTGGACTGACAGAACAAGGATGTCATAAAGTCATGGTTTTAGGAGACTTTCAAGAGCATCAAGTGCAAGGTGTTCCTTTCAATTAGGGGGAGCCCGAAACCCAGAGAGGGCAGAGATCTGCCCCGGGTTACCCAGCCATTCAAAGGCAAAGAGTCCAGGCTAAAACTCAAGACTTCTAACTCAGGCGGAGATGGCTCTCATCACGCTGGGCAGCCTGGTCTGAGCCAGGAGAAGGCAGAGGGGTGGAGGCCGGCGAAGGGGTCAGACGCACAGAGGGTGAGAGGTTATAACTAGGAACTGACTCCCAGGCCCGGCTCTGCCTCTCACAGCTTACGAACTCTCAGGTCATAACTGTGCTTTCTTCCCCTGAACTGCAACATCTATTTCTGTGGGTGCCATTGGGCTACAGGAGAAAATCAGTAATATTATCATCAGTGTTTACTGAGCACAGAGTCAGGCACTCTGTTGGGTTCTCTCATGTTTTACCTCATTTAATCCTCAAGCAACTCTGTGGGGTGGGAACTAGTATTGCCTGCTGCCCATTTTCTGGATGAGAAAGTTGGGCCTCAGAAAAGTTAAACTACCTTGTCCAAGGTCATCTAGTAAGTGAGCAGCAGAGCCAGGGCATGAACCCATCAAAGACTCTGCTCTTGACCTTTGAGCCACCACACCTCGTACACTCACTGCCAAGTGTCCTGCACAGTGAGGTTTCCAAATAGGTGGAGGAAAGGACCGAGAGAGTTCTGTGGACTCACTAGATGGGGTCCCCAGAGGGACGAGGGGCCTCAGTGTCTCACTGAGAGCAGGGTGCTGTTCATAAGTGCAAACTCAGGGGAGGACGAGACTCCTCTACTTTGTGCCAATATCCTGCTTCTGCTACATGACTTTCTTTCCACAGTTCTCCACACAGCAGGTCCTCCCCCTTCTCAGGGAAAATCGATCCATCAGCCCAGTTCTGGAGATCCTTGCCTTTCTGTGGGGCTGCAGAACCACGTACAGCCACCAGAGGGCGGGCCAGCTCTGCGGCCAAGTCTTAAGGACCCAGTACTCCTCAGGAGGTGGCAAAGCGTGCAGCCAGGGGTGGACCTAGATGCCCTATGGCACAGCCCTCTGTTATCAGCTTTGCCATCAGCTTACTCCCGCAGGTCTCAAAACGTCTAACAGAAGTTCAACTCATGTTCAGACATGGTGTCTGGTTCTACAGGGATAAGGATCTGAAGAGTCAACACCAAAAGCATAATGACAACAGCCACCGCCAGAGACAGTGGTCGGAACTTCATTTTACTGAGCACTCCCTCATACTTTGAGCGACTGGAGATTCATCAAAGCCTTATGAGTGAGCGGCACATTCGCACTAACAGATAAGGAAACTGAGGAACTCATCAGGAAGGGGAATGATTTGTTTAGGGTGACGGACAGAACTCTGGTCTTCAGACTCCAGGGAGAGCCGTTTCCAATCCCCTGGCTGCCGAGAGGTGGGGGGGGGAGGGGGGGGCCTGCAAACGGGGGTAGAAAGAGGAACGAGGGGTCAGAACATTCCACCAGGAAGACCAAATGCACTGTGGTATTTCCTGTGGGCACACCAGCCACCCAGCCGCCCAGCTGCCCAACCACCACCAATTCGTCCCCAGGTACGCACTGAGCCCCTGCTGGGGCACAAAGATGAATGAGAGGAGGCTCCTGCCCTCGAAAAGCTGGCAGTCTAGTGGGGGAAAGTGGCGAGTCAGCAGAAAATTACAGGAAACCGACGCCTGTACAATGGTATGTGAGCAGAGGGCTTGATAAATGTCAGCAGCATGCTCGAGTTGGGGGTGTCCCCGGGGGTACCCAGGCCTGAAGGAGAGGCCTAGAGTCAAGGACTATCGGCAGGTGCACCCCTATCCCTGAAGCTCACCGGGGGTGGGGGCTCCCCTCTCGGCTTCTTGTTCCCACCTGTGTTGGGGACCCGGGGTCCCCTCACCCCTCTCGGAGGAGAGCGGGCCGGGGAGCTGATGACAGCACACCTGAGTCAGCCCGCCGCCCACCCGCCCCTCAGCGTCTGTCTACGCATCTTGTGATATTTCGCTACCCGGGAGCCAGCCCCACTGCGCTCCGGAGGCAGCTCGGCAAACAAACCCAGCGACAGATTGTGCCGCGGCTCATACCGGGGAAGGACGCCAAATCCCACCCTGCTACCCCCAACACTCCCTCCCCGCCTCCCCCTCCAGGCCCTCTTCCCTGGCGCGGGCCCTCCGCTGGGTGGGTCCGGGGAAACGCAGGAGCCGATTCCTTCTAGAGATGGGAGGGGGAGTAGAGCCCCAGAGATCCCCTTTCTTCCTACGCGACCTGATCCCAGGGAGGGTGGGAGAGGAAAGGAGGTGCCCGGGGCGGGGGGGGGGGGGGGGGGGCCTGGGAGCCCGGGAAGAGCAAAGGATGGAACCAGCAGGGGGCGCCAGAGCGTCAAGGTGCAAGTGGACCAGGAGCCCGTTCAAGAACTGGGCTGGGAAGGAGATCGACGGCTGAGGCAGAGACACACAGGACGCAGAGATGGAGAGAGAGAGGGGGACAGGGCGCCACAAGGACCGGAGGGAGGTGACAGAGACACGGAGAGACAATGAGAGAGACAGATGCATAAAGGGAGGAAATGACACGGAGGGCGGGAAGGAGGGAACAGAAGGACGGAGACCATAAAATATGAGTAAGAGTTGGGGGGGGGGAGACAATGGGAAGAATCGAATGAGAACGCGGGAGGAATGAGACCGTGCATGGAGAAGAGAATGAATGGGAAAATGAGACCGGCATTTACACAGCGCCGACTGTTTGCCGGGCGCTGCGTGGGCGGCGGACACAGACAGGAGGGGAGGAGCCAGCGAGAGGCGGCAGGGCGAGGGGTCCCTTTCTTGGCTGCCGGGAGGGGCCGCCGGGGCTCCCGCGCGCCCGCCCGCCCGGCTGGGCTGCGCGCAGATGGCTCCGGCCCCGGCGGTACGCGCCGCTCCGGCCGCCCCAGCCCCGCCAGCGCCATTTGGCCACGATCCCCGAAGCGATTCCCCCAACGCCCCCACGCCTGTCCCGTACCGGGAAGGCTTCCAAGGGCCGGGTGCCGGGCCCTCTGGGCCGGGTCAAAGCCGGGACGGTGAACAACGCCGCCTTTGTCAGGAAACGTTAGGTTAGGTCACTGGCTGGCAGGTATCGCCCGGAACACGGCCTCCAAAGGCACAAGGGACCCCCGTGAGAGCAGAACGCACCTCTCTCTAAGAGGAAGTAGAAGCAGCTTGCGTGAAGCCGACGCTCCCCTCCCCACCCTTGAGCCCGCTCCTCTTCGCCCGCGGGAAATGAGATATCCCCTTTCGTACACACTATAACATACACAAAAAAATGCACACAGTCACACGCGCACCCAAACTTGCACCGACCGGCTCGCAAAACGCATCCAGAGACACACACACACACACCCGGACACAGGTACCCTAGCCACCCATCATCCCCAAGTTCGCTCCGCCAAACTCTCGCACAGCCTCGGGTTTCCTGCCAGCGCGGACACGCTCGCGGGCGGGCACTCGGCAGCTCACCCGCTGGCACACTCACGTGCCCCCCGCTTCCCGGAGCCCATATAAAATGTAGCGTGCAAGCACTCAAGAATCACACCTGCACGAGCGTCTGCGTGCGCGCATGCACGTTCCTCTGCACTCGATCGAGCAGCACGCAAACTCTTGCCCATACTATTCTTGTACACAGTTGCACACTCCCAGGGCTTGGGGTCCGAGAGACGCAGGGAATGTGGAGCCTTGACGCGCTCCCAGGGAAGAGAAATTTTGGAGGCCTGGACCTTGGCACCAGGGACGCCGCGAGGAGGTGGGGGTGGCCCGGCAGCCCAGCGCATCTCCTCGGAGATAACTAACTGGGAGGGGGGAACCCGGCAAGTCCTCGGGGTTCCCAGGCACTGCCGCACCCCCTCTGCCAGGGATTTCCCTGGAAGCTCGGCGCCGCGAAGGCAATCGAACACACTCCTCCGGGTCCTCCAAGGAGGGGAGGGGTCCGGGAGGGAGGGGGTAGAGAAGCCGCTCCCGCCTCCTAGTGGCCAGGGAAGGGTTAAGTCGGCCAGCTAAGAAGCGAGGGAGGAGCCAGCGAGTGCGGGAAGGAGTGGGGGTGGTTGGGAAGAGCATCCTCGCTGTCCCCACTCTCCCTCGGCTCGCAGCCGGGGCGCGCGGACCCGAGGACCGGCCGGCTCGCACGCCGCCTGCGCTGCTGGGGGGCGCCGGCGGCCGGCGTCGTCGACGGCCAGCTCCAGCCCTCCCCGCCCAGCCGCGCCCCGCCCCGCCCCGTCGGGGCCGATGGCTCCTCCCGAGGCCCGCAGCCCGGGGGGCGCAGGGTAGAGTGCTGCGGCCTGGCCTCGCCGCCCGGGGTCTGCCGGGCCCTCCCGGAGCCCCGCGGAGTCCCCGCCGTCCGTGTGGCGGGCTCAGGGAGCGAGTGGGAGCGCCCCCCACCGCCGCCCCCTCCCCCGAGCGTCGAGACAAGATGCTGCCCGGGCTCAGGTGCTTGCTGCAAGGTAGGGACCCCAGCCCGCTGCAGAGCGGAGGCCAACCGGGGGAGGGGAGCGGGGCACCCCCGCCCTCAGGGCTCGAGGGTGGGGCAGTTGCGGAAGGTGGGGGGTAGCCTGGCGAGGAGGAAAAAGGCTTAATCCCGGGGCCCCGCCCCCGCACCCAGGGGCTGCCGGCTGGAGGAGCGCGCCCGACTCGGAGACTGCCCGGCTGTGCGGGGAGCTCGTGACCGTAGGGGGACGCAGGGGCCAGGCGGGCCGGGCCTGCGCGGGGGAGGGAGGCTCAGGTTCCGCTGTCCCAGCTCCACCTGCTCCCGGGGACGCTGAGGACTCCGGCCGGCTGGGGAAGCGCCGACTCAGCAACTTCTCGTGCCCCGTGCCTCAGCACTTTCCAGTCACCTGAGAGGACAAGGGATGTGGGTAGGGGGCAGTCTGTGAGGGTGGGGGTGCCGAGGGAAACCCAAGTGCCTCCCCCCGCCCATAGGACAGATGGAGGGCGCTGGAGAGGGGATAGTTCCAAGGATTGAGTGACAGCCAAGGGTGCGGGCCGGAGACCGGGGGCGGGCGCGGGGCGGGGGAGGGGGCCGTTATCGACTCGAGAAAGTCCGTAGGGGAGGAGGGAGACGGGGAGGAGTAGGAGGAATAAAGGTTAGACGGGAAAAGCGCCGAGGGAAGTGGGACCCAGGTTAGGGCCAGGAAGAGGGAAGCGGAAAGGACACCAGAGGAAGGGAGGCGTGAAGGGAAGACCCGAGACGAGCACCCAGAATCTGGGGGTGGGCGCCGTGGGAAAGAGCCTGGGGCCCTCTGGACCTGGAAGGCGAGGGGAGTGGGAAGATCAGAAACCTGAGGATGCGGAGGGGGGTAGAGACGGAGTCTCGGGAGCGGGGGAGAGGTTCAAGGATGAGCTCTGGGGCTGGGGACAGGGAACCGCAGATGGAAGAGGGGCTAGGAGTTGAGGCCGGGGTGGGGGTGCGGGCTGGGAAGGAAGGAGGGGGAGGAGGAAGAGAAAGGGATGGAGGGGAGGGATGGGGTGGGGGTGGGGAAAGTTGCCAGAGACGAGACAAAGACGCTTCTGGTAACCACTTCCACGTGGGAAGCCCTCCCTTCCCAAAGCGCCTGCCGGTCTCGTCTCTTCTTTCAGGGAGTGGTCGGTGGGGCAGAGCCGGGGCTCAGGGCTCAGGGCTTCGAGGGGTGGCTGTGAGGAAGAACAGGGAGGACATTTTAACGGAGTGGCAGCCTCCCAGGGTGGGCTTCCTGGCTGCCATTTATATCTGAGGGCCTCACGTCGGATCCTGCAGCCCCGCGGTGGCCGCTGCTGCCGCGGTGGCTGCTTATTTTGGGGTGTCACATTCTGGCAGAGTGAGAAGCCGCTTGCAGCAGTCTAAACCTCCATCGCCGCGCCAGTGCCTCCCCAGGCCCCTGCGTCACTGGCTTCGCCGCCACCCCCTCGGGCCCTGCACCCTCGGGCCCCCAGCCTTTGGGGTGTGGAGCTGTTGCTTCTCACCCGGGACCTTCGACCATCCTTCAGAGTCAAAGACCTTGACTCCAGGGAGCACCTTTCCTGAGGCCACTGTGCGCTGGGGGTTGGCACCCTGGCTCCGGCCCTCTAGTCTCGGGGTCCATCAGGCTCCTGTCCAAGGGTGCCCCTTCACGGGGGCCTCGGCACCGCAGGGTGGCTCCGGGGGTGAGGACTTTGTTTCTGAGCTTGGTGCTCCAGGGTGACGGCCCAGAGTCCTTGACAGTGGCCCCTCAATGAATGGATACTTTTGGCTCTGGGCACCTCAGCCTTCCGGGATCGATACCATGTTCTGGCCTCTGTCCATCCCTCCCCTGGTCAGTTCTGGCCATATCTCCTGGACACTGGTCATCTCTCCTTGACTCCCAATAGCGTCCCCCTAGAGTAGCCCCAACCTGGAACCCAGGAGAGGAAAGTTGCAGAGAGAGCCTGGGTTCCTTCTCTGCCTTGACCCTGGACAGCCAAACAGACCCAGGGTCATGGCTGGCCCAGCCCTGCGCACCTGAGCACAACTCCTTCCCTCCCTTTAACTGGAGGGGCAGTGTCTCTTGCACTCAGGGGTGCTTTCCTTAGATGATGTGAAATCTCCCGAAGAAAGGCCGGAAATCCCTTTGGACACGTGCGTGTCCATTCTGGGTCCCTCCTGTACTCGCTGCATGACCTGAGGCCACTCATTTCATGTCTCTGAGCCTCCTGCCCCTTTCCCGCAAACTGGGGGCTGTAAGATTGGCCTCACGGGGTCGTGTTGCATGCTATGCACATAAAGACATGTACAGATCCAGTGCCCGGCACACAGTAGGTGCTTAGTAACAGATGCTTTCTGCCCATCCTGGCTCTACACTCTCCTGCAACTCTCGCCATTACTTGCTAACTTTAGGAAAAAAGGAAACGAGGGAAGGGAAGGGATGGGGTGAGTGGAGAGGGCGGGGACACTGTTAGAAAGGGCCTTCCTCCACCCGGCCCAGCCCGGTCTGGCCCGTAGAGGAGCAGGGAGATGGCGTGAAGCCTTCGTGAAAGGTACAGGAGGCAGCCTGTCAGAGATTCCGCTCAGGAGACCCCGGGCTGCTCACTCAGAAACTGAGCCTTCTCTTCAGCCTTCGGGCGTGTGACCTGGGAAATAAGGGGTTTGCTCTGGTGGTGTCCGAGGTGCCCCCTTCCAGCTCTGACCCCCTGTGCGTCCGGCTGGCCCGTCTTTGCCCGGGATTCACAAAAGGAGGGCCGGAAGTGGGACTGTGGTCCTGGAGAGAGAGGAGGACACAGGCCAGGAGGGAAGGCGTGACAGGGAAGAGGAAGAGCCGTGAGAAGCAGAGGGTAGGAAGGAGGGGACTGTGGGGAGAGGGAAAAGGGCACACGCTGGGCAGGGACCAGACCGGAGGGCGAGGGTGGAGGAGGGAGAGAGAGGCATGGCTCACCAGCCCCCACTGCCTCAGCATCCAGGGAGCATCCAGCCAGGCCTGGGGGCAGAGAAACCCCGTGCCCCCCACCTTCCCCTCCTCCTAGCCTCCAGTGAGAGCTGCAGCCTGAATTATGGATGAGGCTCCTTGGGTTACAGCTGCTTTGCATGGCTGCGAGGGCCAGAAATGGCAACAGAGTCACTGCTACGCAGCAGCTGTCATGGAGGGGCCCGTGCTCAGGGCCCCTCCTCAGAGAGCCTGCCAGGAACAGGTCTCAGGCTTGGGGAGGTGGGCCAGGATGGGGGAAATACGGGGGACAAGAGGGAGGGGTGCAGGGAAAGAAGAGAGGAGCCCCTCACGGGGGCAGGTAGGAGGCCAGTTGTGAGTAGCGGGAGGCAGGCCCTGCTGAGGGACTGACTGAGCAGCCTCCAGGGAGGAAGAGACCCTGGAAACCGGGAAGGGGCCCCCTGACGCTGAGGTGCTCTGGGATTGCACATCCTTCCCTGGCTCTGGGCTACCAGTCAGCCCTAGAGGCTGGGGGAAGAGCTCCCCTCCTCCCCAGGACTGGCAGCCTTCGGCCTTCGGGGCTCCCATTCTTGGGAGTTTGTGGGTAAGGGGTGGGATTGAGGGACCAGAGAAGGATTTGGCTTTCTCTGGTGTCAGGTCCTTGGGGAAACGAGCTCAGAAGGTGACTCTGCCAGGAAGGGAAGTGCCCTGGCCAGGCATCAGGAGACTGCCCTCTGGTTCTTACCCTGCCAACCACTTTGCTGTGTGACCTTGAGCAAGTCGCTTGCCCTCTCTGAACCCCGATTGATTGGGACCTCAGTTGAATAAGAATTTGAACCAGATGAACCTGGAAAAATCTTTCCGGCTTTGTAATCTCCTGTTCTGAGCCCCAAACCTCAGCCCCGGCTGAAAGACCCACCCAAGGTTCCCCACCTGCTCCCGCACCCCGCCCCTGCCAGGTTCGGATGAGGGGTGAGAGACATGCTCCTCCATCCCACGTGGCTCTGAAAAACTCAGGAGGAGAAAGTAATCGTGAAACGCCGCACGGGGGAGGGGTGAGAAGGGCCGAGAAACGCGGAGGCGGTGTGAACGAATGGCACAGCAGCGCTGTGTCACTGAGTATTACATCACACCCAGCCTACACACGCAGGGGGCTGGCACTCTCACACACACACACGCGCGCGCGCGCGAGGACAGCCAGCACACGCTCGCACACGCTCTCACACGCGCGCCCTGCACGGTGGCCACGGGGAGGGGCGAGGATGCGCAAGGTGGGTGGGGCCCCAAAGTGAGGAGCAGCGGGAGCACCACACACATCGGGCATGGGGTCCCGCACCTTCGCCTGCGTGTTCCCCCATGAGAGGAGGCTCACCGGAGCCTCCGTGATGTCCACACCGCACCGGGGGCCTATGGGGGCCACGCGAACCCTGCGGCTCAGACACAGGCATTCACACACAGCACTTAGGGGGCACCGGGCACCAGTCGGCCCCAGGGCCTCTGCGCCCCAGAGAGGCCCAGAGATGGAGAGGAGGGCTTTTGGTCCAAGGCCCCGTGGTCCTCCCCTCAGCCTTGGGAGGCCTAGCACACTGCCTGCAGCAGAAGGTGCTCACTGGAGGTGTGCCCAGGGAGTGACTTTCCAGCTTTGGGGGTGCTGGCTCCCCTTCTCCCCAGGCAAACCTCCCAGCAGAAAATCCCAGGAGTCGGGTGGAAGTCATGACAAAGAGCAGAGGTCAAGCCAGTTCCGGCCCAGACCTTCACCAGCTACGGTGAGGGCGGGAAGTGGCTGAGCTCCCCAGGCAGGCCCCGCACTGAACGCTGGGGCTCAGACACACCCCGCCAGTCCCCAGGCTTTGGAGCCCCCCTCGACCTGCTTCTCCATCTGCATCTTAAGAAGGGTGGACCATATCCAACCTTCAAAAGTTATTTTGAAAAAAAAAAAATGTAAGTGACTTTAAATGAAAAGAGCCTGGGGTGTGAAATGTAGATTCCCTGGCTCTCACCCAGAAATTCTGATTCTGCACAGGCAGGCCAAGGAAGCCGCATTCTTTCTGAACCTCCCGCTGCTTCTGTTGCAGGAGGCTGGGGCCCCCCAGTCATAGACCCATCACCCCTGGTCCCTGAGGCCCTTCCCGCAGGAAGAGACTCAGGTTCTTCCCAGGTGAGAGCTGCAGGAAGTCCAGCCCCCCCCCCCAGGGCAGCCAGGGGGCCCTTTTACACCAGCCTGAGACTCACAACAAGAGTCTCACAATTTAGTCCCAGCCAGTCTCCAGTGGGGGCGACTTTGCTCGGCAGGGGACATTTGGTAATGTCTGGAGGCATTTTGGTTGTCACAATCAGGGGGAAGGTGTTACTGGCATCTAGTGGGTAGAGGACAGGGAGGCTGCTAAACACCCTAAATAGGGCACCACACAGGACTGTGCCCCACAACAAAGAGCGGTCGGCCTGACTCTCAACACTGAGGTTAAGAAGCCTGACAGGTAGCTGGTCCGACCCACCACCATGGAAACGAGGATGGAAAAGACGACCACTCAGGAAACAACTCTCAACAGAGCGCTGTGCTTTCTGAAGGGTCCTTTCGGCGTTTCTTCGTTTCTTTATTTTTTTGATATGCCAGGGGTCTCAAAAAGTGGGAGTGGCCAGGTCCCCTGGCAACTAGGTTACTTGCTCCCAGAACCCTCCCACCTGTCAGCGGCAGGCTTCTTGCCATTAGGGGTGGGTGGGCTGGCCCCTAGCAGGCACTCCTGCCTTCACAGCCTGCCCAGAAAGGCCTGCCCCCCTCTCCCTGCAGGTCCCGCCTCGGCCTGCCTCCTGCTGATGCTCCTGGCCCTGCCCCCAGCGGCCCCCAGCTGCCCCATGCTCTGTACCTGCTACGCGTCCCCGCCCACCGTGAGCTGCCAGGCCAACAACTTCTCCTCCGTGCCGCTGTCCCTGCCGCCCAGCACCCAGCGACTCTTCCTCCAGAACAACCTCATCCGCACGCTGCGGCCGGGCACCTTCGGGCCCAACCTGCTCACCCTGTGGCTCTTCTCCAACAACCTCTCCACCATCTACCCGGGCACCTTCCGCCACCTGCAGGCCTTGGAGGAGCTGGACCTCGGTGACAACCGGCACCTGCGCTCTCTGGAGCCCGACACCTTCCAAGGCCTAGAGCGGCTGCAGTCGCTGCACCTGTACCGCTGCCAGCTCAGCAGCCTGCCCGGCAACATCTTCCGCGGCCTGGTCAGCCTGCAGTACCTCTACCTCCAGGAAAACAGCCTGCTCCACCTCCAGGTGAGGCGCCCCACCCAGCGCGCGCAGGGCGCAGGCGCGCGCGCCCACACACGCACACGCCACCCCTGTTTCCCCCTCTGCTCCTCTGTCCCTGTGTGTGTCCCTCCTCTCCCCCAGGACACCCTTCCTGCCTCAGCATCTCTGCATCTCTCCCCATGTCTGCTCCTTTTTTAAGTGTGTCCCTCTCACTTACTCCGGGGGCTATTCTGCATGTCGTTCTGCACGTTGGTCGGTCTGTCTGTCTAAACTGTTTGGTTCCCTCGCTGCCCCCCAACTCTCTGACTCTTCTAACCACCCCCACCCCGTGTGTCCCCCTCTGCCCCCTCTGCCTCTCTCACTAACCGGCCTCCCCCATCTGTCTTCTGCGTCTTCTGTCTGTCTTCCTTCACACGCCCACTCCACACGCACCCCCACGTCTGTCTGGGTGATGCATCTCTTTCTGTGATCTCTCCTTTCCCCCTTGTTTGCCTTGGGTGGGGGCTGCCTCTCCCCAGGCACCAGGCCTGAAGGTCTTCACGGCTGCCTTTCTCCCCACCCCCAGCCCTTCCCACCGCCTAGGCGTCCCATAGAAGGTTCCACCTCCCGGCAACACACTGGGTAATGGGACCAGGGGAAACTCTACCACCCGGTCTAGATTCCCATCGCTGAGCCTGCCGTCTCTCTCGCTGAAAGGGAAGAAGGGGAAAAAAGGGTAAAGAGCCGTTAGGTAGCCGAAAGATGGATGCTCTGAACACGGAAGGAATAACAGTAATTGCTATTTATTGTTATTATTATTGATCTAAATATTGTTTATTGTTGTTGTTAAGCTGACTGTTTGACAGTCAAATCCTCCCATTCTATTTCCCCAGGAAGTAATAACACGCCCTCCAAACCGCTCCGGGAGAAAGCCCTCCCTGGCGCCAGGGCCCCTGGCTGGACGGGGCAAGAATCTCCCGCGTCTCCCTTCTCCCCAGGCAGACCTGGAAGGCAGGTCCTCCACCCACCCAGCCTGGTGCCTAACTGGTCACCAGTGTGCTGATTTTTTTTAAGATTTTATTTATTTATTTTCAGAGAGGGAGTGGAGGGAGAAAGAGAGAGAGAAACATCAATGTGCGGTTGCTGGGGGCCATGGCCTGCAACCCAGGCATGTACCCTGACTGGGAATCGAACCTGCGACACTTTGGTTCACAGTCCACGCTCAATTCACTGAGCTACACCAGCCAGGGCACACCAGTGTGCTGACTTAAAAGTCAGGTCAGGTGGATGCTGATAAAGATAATAACAGAAGCAATAATAATTTAGCCAGGTATTGTGCACCCACTATGTGCGAGGGGCTGAGAACACAGCATTTAACAAAGCAGACAACTCTTCCCTGCCTTCACAGAGGTAGCATTCTAGGTGGGGGGGGAGAGACAGAAAAATACAGTAGCCACCCCCCCCGCCCACCCCCACTTTTCTGCAAGAGATACCGAACCTTATACGTACTATGTTTGTGCCTCTACATACGCACCTATGATAAAGTTAATTTATAAAATAGGCACAAGAAAAGATTAGCAACAATAACTAACAATAGAACAGTCATAATAGTGACGCTGTAACAAAAGTGACGTGAGTGGCTTTGGGGGCGTAATTAAGTAAAGAAAGGGTGACTGGCACACAAGCTCGACGGTACCGCCGTCCTTGCTCTGACGAGCGTGGCGGCTGCCGAGTGAGCCGCAGGCAGGAAACCGAGGCGGTGAGGAGATACTGGACCAGCGGCTGACTCACCTCCGGGCGGGCGGAGGAGACGTTTCGCCATGCTGATTAGAACAGCGCGCAATTTAAAATTATGGAATCATTTATTTCTGGAATTTTCTATTTCGTATTTTTGGACCGTGGTTGACCGTGGGTAACTGAAACCGTGAAAGCAAAGCCGTGAGTCAGGGTGAGGGGGGAAGACTGCTCTATGTAGCACATTGGAAAAAATATGTTGTGGTTATTTTTTTAAGAGTTTACTTGCTTATTTTTAGAGAAGGAGAGGAAGGGAGAAAGTGAAGGAGAGAAACATCAGTGTGTGGTTGCCTCTCACGTACCCCTTACTGGTGACCTGGCCCGAAACCCAGGCATGTGCCCTGACTGGGAATTGAACCAGTGACCCTTTGGTTCTCAGGCTGTCGCTCAATCCACTGAGCCACACCAGCCAGGGCTGCTGTGGTTATGATGATTGCATCAACAATGATAATGGCACCCACTATCATTTAGCAGACATGCTATGCATGGGGTGCTGTGCGAAAGACTTTATGGGTATCAACTCTGCACTTTGCAAGTGTGCGACATTTTTAAATCCCTCTGGGCCTCAGTGTTTCTATCTGTAAAATGGAGGGAGCACCAGCACCCATGTCCTATGGATTTCATGAATCTAAGTGCATGAATAATTTGTAAAGCGCTTAGAATAGTGTTTGGCACATGATAAGCACTATATAAATGCTTGTTAAAATACTATTTTAAAAGAGTGGCAAGCCTCATTGAACATTGATCTTGGAGAAATGGCCCATCTTGGACCTCATCCTGGAGATGTGAGTCAACTTCAAGCATGACACTGAGGCCACGGGTGGGCCCCTGAACACACCTCTCTTTTCTCTCCATCCGCAACGGGCCTAGCACCTCACAGTTGCCAAAGCGTGCTCAGCCACCTCATCTCATTTTTACAGCCCTTTTGGGAGATGTTTGCACCTCCTCACAGGTGAGGAAGCTGAGGCCCAGGTCCCAAGACTTTGCAGATATAAGGCCTCTACACACAAAGTCCCTTAAACCATTGCCTGTGTGATTGGGGCTCACGCGCGTTCTCACCAGCATGCTTCACCTCCCAACAGCCTGGCCTCAGGGACAGGGAGGGGCAGTAGGGACGTGGAATGAAGTTCCTGAGGCCGGCCAGCCAGGCAGAACTGGGGATGCTTGAGCCTACATGGGCTGACCACTTATCAGGCCACTTCCATCATGTACAGCTCTCCACTAGGGTCTGTCTGGGTGAAGGTGTTGCGGGGGGTAGCCTGAAGTACGGCAGCGTGGACTCATTTTTGAAGGCACTTGTTTTGGAGTCTACCGGATGTAGGTTCAGATCCTAGCTCCTATGACTTTGGAGAGATTACTAACCCTCCTTCAGTCGCCATTTCCTCATCTGTAAAGTGGCGATCATGAGAGCTTTAGCACAGGGCCACACTCGGGTACGACCACGGAAACCCTGGCCTCCTTCTCCATATTTATCGGCTGTTCACAACGAGAAATCTGGGGTCAGAGGGCCTGAGTTTGAATCCCTGCTCTACTACTTTCTGATGTGTTTAACTTTAGGCATGATGCCTCTCCTCTCTGGACCTCAGTTTCCTTATTTTTAAAGTGGATATAATAAAAAGAACGCCTTCCACAAAGAACGGCTGTAAAGAGTAAGTGAGTTAGTGTATATACGGCACATAGTCCAGTGCTGAATAAATCGTGTCTTTAGAACCTGACCCTCCATTGACTCTCAGGCCAGGACCCGGGGACAGGTCCTGGGAAAGACCCGGACAAAGGGGATTTTGAGTGGACACTGGGATCTCCCGAGACGGGAAGTGTTTGTTTTGCACATCCCTGGCATGAATGGTACAGGCACCATGGGAAAGAGGCATCTTCATAACTGGTCCTCTATAGAGGAGAAAGCAAGAGACAGCCCTGCCTGTGAAATGCCGGGAGGAACTAGGCTGGGAAAGGCCACAGACTGAGGAAATGTGGGCCAAGATAATGCAGGTGTGGCCCAAGATAAAGCCTGCCGCAAGAGGCGAGCTTTGGAGGAGGCGAGAGGACCACAGCTTTTAAAGATGAGGAAGGTGGACGTGGAAATGGGTTGGCTTAGAGGTTCTCAAAGACTGTCTTCTGCATGCCAGCTACTGTGCCAGGCGGGTTCATTCATCAGTGATGTGTGTTGAGCACCTACTACATGGCGGGCGGCGTTCTGGGCACCAGAGATTCAGGAGTGAGCAACAATAGTGTCCCTGCACTCCTGGAGCGTAGTTCCCACTTGAATGGAGCCAGATGATAAGGACATCCATTCTCTTAATCATCACAGCAGCCTACATGGTGTATAAGAGCAGCCTGTGTACTCAGGCAAATCTGGCTTTGAATGCCAGCCCCACCTCCGACTTGCTGTGTGGCTTTGAGCAAATTGCTTCACCACTTTAATCCTGAATGGACCCATCTGCAACAGGGGGGAAGTACCTGTACCTCAGGGGTTTCTGGTGAGGATTAAAGGAGAGGCTACTGGAAAAGGGCTCAGCACCATGTGTGGGCAGAGCGAGCATCATTTCCCCATTTCATAGTGAAGGACGCTGGGACTCAGTGAAGTCGAGGTGCTGGTCCAAGGTCACCCAGTTAGTAAAGGGCACAGCCTAGAACTGGCCCAGGTCTGACTCGAGTTCAGCTCTTCAGAGCCCTGTCTACAGAGTTCACATCTGCATTCCACTACCTGATAGCTGTTGAATCCCAGGCATGTCGCTTGCCTTCTCTGAATCCCCCTTTTCTGATCTCAAAAGGTGCAGGGGGATAATAACACTACCTGCTTCACAGGGTTGTGCAGGTTACTACGTGGCCCGTGCACAGCACTGAGCTTGGCTCACAGTTGAAGCTCAGCTGCTTGCCCAGACAATGACACCAGACGTACACTGGTGAGCACGAGGAGGGGGGGTGCCTGGCACAGCGTAGACACTCAATAGAGCTTTGCTGAATGAATGAGGTGCTGTCCAGGACTCGCTCACTCATTAATATCAGATGAGGATGGATCTTAATGATCATCTATCTCAAGTCCCTTGTTTCACAGATAAAAAGGCCGAGACTCAGAGAGGTACCTAGAGCTGCCCAAGGTCACACAGCTCAGCCGCTAGTGCCAAAGACTGGAGCTTGGGAGGCTGGAAGGAGGCAAGGTTAAGAACAGGATGCTGTCCAGAGAAGGGGGGCAGGGATGCTGCGCTGAGATTCCATATGGATGCAGAGAGCTGTGAACTGGCTGGGGGAGGTGAGGGAAATGTGGTTTTGGAAATGGAAGATGACTTTAGCAGCCGCTCTCAGCCCAGGGTGGGGGGGGCGATAGGGAGGGCGGTGGGGGAGGGGGAGGGCTGTGAAAGTCAAGAGCTTATTAATGCACAGAGAACGGTTTTAACGATGGAGAGAGGAGGACCGGATTTGAGAGCTGCAGCGGGATTTGGCAACAGCTTGGATGGGGGGGGAGGGGAAATGGACCCCCTGGCTGAGGCTCAGAGATGGAAGGGGCAGGGCGTGTACAAATGGAAAAAAGGGAAAGAGAGGTGGTTGGAGTCAAGGAACTTTGTAGCCTAGAAATTGGAACTGTGGGCCAAAGGCGCCTGAACTCCCTAGGGGCCCTGACCTTTGGTCATCCCTTCCTAACCTCCCCAAGTCCCAAAGGTCCATTACCCGTGCTCCCTCTGCCCACCTCCCACACACATACATTGATCCTCTGACCAGGTATCTCTGGGCGTGTCCCGCTCTTACTGACACTCCCTAACTAGGTGTTTGAGTGGAAGGGACTCAGAGCCCACTCCCTGCTGGGCCAGCCCAAGGCCACAGAGGTTCAGGGAGCCCGCTGGAGGCCTGACCTGAGCATGGGCGGTGGCACAGGGGGTGAAGAACGCTAGTGTCAGAGGCAGCCGAGAAGGTTGAGGGGGACGGATCTCAGTGTGGCCAAGAGGAGGGTTCTTGGCAAGCTCAGTTCCTGTAGCGGAGAGGGCGGAAGCCAGATGGGAGGGGGCGAGAACACGCAGGAGCACAGGAAGGTGGAGGCTGTGGGTGTGGGCTGGGAGTCAGTGCCCTCCCCCCACCTGAGAGCCTGTGACCAGGCTCCTGGGGAGGGCGGGGGGAATCATCTCCCCAGACAGGGAAGGGTGGGAGAGCCACAGCCCAGAAACAGGCCCCCCAGGGTGCACTGGCTTGCGCATGGAGGATGCCGTGTCCCTGAGAGCCAGGCCTCCTGGATCTGCCGGCCACAGTAATGTCCTGCATCACTGGGGGAGGACCTCAGTCCCGGGGCCCTGGTCCCTGCTCTGGCAAGCCTTCCATCTCCTTGGGTGTCAGTGCTCTTCCCTGTAAAAAGCAGGCTGGGCTGGTGGACCCTGGAGCTGATCATCACCGATACCTTAGTGAGCTGGTTAAAATGCAGAATCCAGCCCCGGCCCCTTCCCGCCTCCCACCCATGGAGGATATCCACTCCCCACACCCACACCCGCATTCATTCTGAACCACAGTCCAAGATCCTCCCAACAGGAACATGGCCTGCTGGGGCACCTCCAGCCCGGACAAGCACAAGCGAGGCAGCCCCTCTAAAGGGGGGCAGTGATGCAGGACACCGGGCAGCAGCCTCCCTTCCCCTCTCCTGCTGCCGGTGGGGAGGGGCAGGCTGACACATGGTCCCCTTAATACCTTGGCCTCTTGGCAGACCTTCTGGACCCCCAAGAGCTCCTCTGTTATCAGGAAAGGAACATTAGTTATTTGAGCCCCTATTGTCACAGTGACCATCAGTTCTTGTTGGTGGTCCCTGTGCCCACCAGGTGCTGTGCCCTTACAGCATGATGTCATCCAACTCTCTGGTTGGGGCGGGGCGGGGGCAGGGGGCTGTTCTCCCAGTTACACACACTGAGGAAACAGCGGCTCTGTGAGGCTAAATAAGTCGCCCAGAGCCCCCCAGCTGGGAAGAGCGCAAGCTGGGTTGGCGCCAGGGCCCACGACTTCTGAGCCTGTGGGCTTCGTCAAGGACCGGATGCCGCTGTGCCAGGCCCCGTGCCCAGCACCTCGCCGTCTGAGCTTTCCGTGGATCCTCTTTAATCCTCAGAACAAAGCCGTGAGGAGGTACCTTCAACCCCTCTTTACAGATGAGGCCACAGGCTTAGAGAGATTACTGGCGTGGCCAAGTTCACAGTAACGGCCAACTCGTAGAACGCCTTCCACGGGGAAGCCTCGTTCTAAGCGCGTTAATACATTGCCGCTCGATTTAACCTCCACATCATACAGATGAAGAAACTGAGGCACAGAGATGCTGGGGCTCGCCCAAGGTAGCACAGTGAGGTAATGACAGACCCGGGATTTGAAGTCAGGAAATCCGGCTCCCCAGTCTGGATGCCTAACCAGAGCTTATTCGCCCAGGGTGATCTTCCGACCTGCAGAGTGAGCGCCCCCTGGGAACTTGTGGAGACGGGCAGATTCTCAGGCCAGGCCGCACGGGCTAAATCACAAACTCTGGGGGCAGCGTTTCGGGATCCACAGGGATTCTGATGCACCCAAAAGTTTCAGAACCACCGGCCTCGACTATAGCACTTTTCCCACGTTAACCTCTATCTCGCTTAGAGGAGTCGGGATTCAAACCCGGGACTCCGAAAGGAAAGGTCAAATTCTTTCCCAGGGCGCTCCCCTTCCTTCCCCTCCTCCAGGCCCGGGGAGAAATCTCCACCTGTCTCAGGACCACTGTCTTCTTCTCCACCCCTAACCCACAGGATGACCTGTTCGCGGACCTGGCTAACTTGAGCCACCTCTTCCTGCACGGGAACCGCCTGCGGCTGCTGACGGAGCACGTGTTCCGCGGCCTGGGCGGCCTGGACCGGCTGCTGCTCCACGGGAACCGGCTGCAGGGCGTGCACCGCGCCGCCTTCCGCGGCCTCAGCCGCCTCACCATCCTCTACCTGTTCAACAACAGCCTGGCCTCCCTGCCCGGCGAGGCGCTGGCCGACCTGCCGGCGCTCGAGTTCCTGCGGCTCAACGCCAACCCCTGGGCGTGCGACTGCCGCGCGCGGCCGCTCTGGGCCTGGTTCCAGCGCGCTCGCGTGTCCAGCTCCGACGTGACCTGCGCCACCCCGCCGGAGCGCCAGGGCCGGGACCTGCGCGAGCTCCGCGAGGCCGACTTCCAATCCTGCCCGCCCGCGGCGCCCACGCGGCCCGGCAGCCGCGCCCGCGGCAACAGTTCTTCCAACCACCTGTACGGGGTGGCGGAGGCTGGCGCGCCCCCCGCCGACCCCTCCACCCTCTACCGAGACCTGCCTGCCGAAGACCCGCGGGGGCGCCCGGGCGGGGACTCACCCACCGAGGACGACTACTGGGGGGGTTACGGGGGCGAGGACCAGCGAGGGGAGCAGACGTGCCCGGGCGCAGCCTGCCAGGTGCCCCCGGACTCCCGCGGCCCCGCGCTCTCGGCCGGGCTCCCCACCCCTCTGCTTTGTGTCCTGCTCTTGGCGCCCCACCACCTCTGACTGCGGTGCTGAAACTGCAGAGGCTGGGGTGGCCCCCAGCCCCAGCCCTCAGCTGCAGCTCTGGCCCAATCCCCGCCCCCCCGGCCTTGCTGCCTCTCTTTCCACTCCCTGCTCCTCTCTCCCCTAGGACCAGGCCACCTGGGATGCTGGCTTAAGGCAACCCCAAGAGGCTGTGTCTGGTGGCTCAGCCCGATTCTCCCCAACTCTGGCCATTAACTCGTTCCCATCCCAAGGCTGGGGTGGGGCATACCAGGCAGGCGCTGACCCCTTCTCCCAGTGCGCACGGCGGACTCGAAAGGAGCTTTTGTCTGCAAAGCATCTTCCACCAGCAGAGCCTTCGGAAGCTTGGGGAAGGGAGCCCCACCGAGAAGCCCTGCAGAGGGCCAGGCTGCCCCTCGGCCCCTGCTTCTCTTCACCCCCCTCAGCCTCCCGACACTGGAGGAATACTTTTCTCCTAAGTCTACCCTGGACACTTTTTAAGGTGCCTGGAGAGAACTTGCCTCTCCACCATGGCCCCTGTGTGGTGAAGATCAACAGAAGTTGTTTGGGAAAAAAGATTTATTAAAAAATTCTATTATTTTATCTTTTTCTGTAAGGTTTGTTGGCTCAGGACCTCAGAAATGGGAGGAGGGCTTAGAACCACCCGGATTTCAGGGCCAGGAGGGCTAGACAAAGGGGACTCGATCACGCCATTGAAGAGCTTCTTGCTCGCCCTGGGACAAGAGGTGCAGCCTGAGGAAGAGGGATGTGACGGGCCAAGACAGGTGTCCATAGCAGCTCCAAGGAGAGCACCTCAGCTCCTCATTTGCCCAGGAGAGGCGGCTACAGCCGACCCTGAGTTGTCTGGCACCCCAGGAGCTAAGCCAGGGCGAGACCTGCAGCTGACTCCCTCCCAGCTCCCACCTTCCCCTGCAGGGAGGAGTCCCATTGCCATCCGTGGTCACAGCCAGCCCAAACTCGGCTTTGAGCAAATCAGGAAAAGGCAGCTCTTCCTCAGGGGAGCCCGGCCCAACACCAGAGCAAAGGCTCAGCAAGCAGAGCCCAAGGCTGGATTTCAGCTCCCACTTGCGGCACCCCTGGACCCACAACCTTGTGGACAGACGGTCTCTTGCCCCTGGCTCCTGTGAAGTAGAATCAGCGATGGACCGCATCAGAGAAACAGTTCTTCAGGTTAGAGGAGCGAGCAAGGGGCTGGGGTGACCAGAGAGACAAGACTCTCCCGTGTTGGGGTGCCTTGCTGGCTTGAAGTATGATCAGAAGCTGCATCTTTCCAGTGTGTGGAGGAGAGGCCGGGGTGAGGGTCGGGGGAGCCTGGGCTGAGAAGGACCTAGGATGGAGGTTAGGGGTGAGTCTCGTCAGGCAGAAGCAGTTGGGGAGAGGTTTGATGGTTTAAATTTAGGGTTAGGAATCCAACTTGGGAGGTGGGAAGGGAAAGAGAGGGGACCTGGATGCCAGGGTTCACGGAGGAGGGATGCTGAGATGCTGAGATTCTGTGACTTTTCCCAGGCAAGTCAGAAGGATGGTGAGAAGGAGGCCGAAACAGAAGGCGTTAACAGCCAAGGCCTGAGGCAGGTAGACTTTGGGGAAGGGTGTGGGTGGGTATGGGGATAATGACAGCAACCAGCTAGTCAAGAAGCAGCAGGGCCCAGGGGCTGGGGTCTCAACAGGGGCCTGTGTCAGTCTGGCTTTTCCAGGCTAATGGGCGGGACTGAGGAGCCAGCCAGCCAGGGGAGAGCTCTGATGGAGGAGGGGCTGCTGGGTCCTGGGCAGAAGGGGAGGGAGGATGCTGGTAAATCAGCAGCAGGCTGTCCAGGTCACAGAATTATCGTTGTGAAATATTCATGGGCCTTCGGTCCAGATGCTATTTCAGAACAGTGAAAGCAAGGGGAGTGTGTGAGCCTCAGGAAGAAGCCTACAGCGATGCCACTTCCCCCCAGCTCCCACCCCCACCAGCCCAGACAGACCGACGGACGCCTCTCACGTGCACACCCACGTTCACACGCTCTTTCACACACATTCCCACAAAGCGGAGCCACAGAGCACGTGCCGGCCTGCCAACACCCACGGGTTCCACCAAGGGGCAGATGCACCCCTGAGACTGACATGCGCACATCGCCGCTCAAACAGGACCCCGCGCAGAGACCACCCACCCATAGAAATCTCACACACACAGTGCCCCAGCCTCTCCAAACCACCCAGATTTACCGCCTTCAGCCACGCACCCTGAAACGGGAGGGACTTTCAAGGCCAACCAGTCCAATGCTCCGATGGGGAAACTGAGGCCCAGGAAGGGGAAGGGCCTTGCCCAAGACTCCCCAGCCATGCCAGAAACAAAACATCCACCTCCCGCATTCTGTGGGTGTGCCCACAGTCTGCATTCTCCTGCCTGCCCAACACCTAGGCTAAATGCAATTAGCTCTTCCCTTCTCTAATCCCTTGTGTCTCCTCCCGGGGTCCCTCTCCAGCCCCTGTCCATCCCTTCCTTTCCATTCCCCTGGCCACCTCCCTGCCCCATCTTCTCATTACCTCATGTCTAGAATGCAGGAGAAAATAGCACTAACCTCCTCTCCAGTTTTCCTACATTCAGTCTCTCCCTCCCACCCAGCCTGCCCATGGTGGCCAGATTCAGACTCACCAAAATTTGCATTTATGTCGGTTTCTCACACAGGAACCTACCACTGCCCCCCTGTTGCCTACAGGTTAACGATAAAACACCAGAGCAAAGAATCAGCAATCCTTCAGAGTCCGGTATCAATGGTCTTTCTTGTTTTTTTTTTCTCATCGCTGTGTCCCAAACCCCCTAAGCCTCCACCCCAGCTAGAATGATTGTACCATGCTGACTGTCTGTTATTATGCACTTGAAACCTATAACTTATCTTGAACTCTCCCTTAAATCCCTCACACTCCCCCAAACTAGGAACCCTCTCCCATTCTTCTCAGAGGACAGACTCCAGAGCCCTTCCCCAAGGCCAACAGTGCGTTTCTCTAACCTTATCCATAGGGATTCTTTCACTGTCCTTCAAGGCACAGGTACAGGCTAATGCTCAGGCTGCCTCCCACTGGCCACCTTGTGAATCGCAGCCAGGCTGCAGCCGTCCTAACCCGAGATGAGCATCTATCTCTCTGGGGAGATGAACACGAGGACGCCAGATGACAAGGTTTATAAGCCCTTAAGCCTCTAAGGTTCTTACACTGGGAGTGGGAGGAGGGTTCTTAGCGCTGCTTTCTGAGCTACTGGCTCCTGACTTAAGCTCCCTGATCCGTGAGAGAGAGGCCCTTTCCTATGGAATACAAAGACTCGGGGCTCCCAGGGCACTGCTGAAGGGAAACTCGCCCACCAGGCTCGGAGAGGCCACAAGGCCAGCGACAGTCCAGGTGGCAGGCCCAAGGTCCAGCTGGGGTCAAGTTTCTACATGAATTTTTAATGCTTCCAGCCAGACCTGTCAGATGTTCCGAAACCTGAGCATCTCCTTTCATCTCTGTACATGATGCCCTTCCCCATCCATTGCCCCTGGGGAGGGTCAGGGAGGGCAGGCCTGGGACAGCTACCCCACGGCCTCTGGGGAAATGATTCAGGGGAAGCAGAAGGGTGAATGACCTAGTTACTCTCCCATTTACTGTGTGACCTTGGGCACGTTACTGAACCTCTCTGAACATCTCTCGTGTTTTTCAATTTTTTTTTTATTTGTAACCTGGGGGCAATAGTGCCTGTCTAAATTGAGTTGCCGTGTTAACTAAGGTGACCCACATGTTTGCTGTCATTATCTTTCCCTCCTGCCTCCCTCCTTCTGTTTTTTTTTTTTTTCCCCAACCCCAGGGGTGCCTCTGCCCTTTTCTTTTGGAGGTGGGGACTTTGGTTGGCTCTGCCATTCTGTGCTAAGATCCAAAGTACTCATGCTAAGATCCTTTAGCCTTGTTAGAAACTTGGGAGGAGGAGGAGGAAGGCATGTGAAGAGAAGCAAGGCTGCTGGAGTGAGAGAGGAAGATGGCAAAGCTGAGGCCAAGGGCAGGGAAGCAGGCAGCAAGACAGGAAGGGTAAGACCCTGCTCAGAGAAACAAGAGCTAGGTGCACACTCTTTCTTTCTTTCTCCTCACTTCCTGTCCTCCCTTCCTTCCCTCCTTCCTGGCGGCTTCTCCACGCCTTGTCCTGTCACACCAGAAGCAGAGATGGCCACTCTGGGCAGAGGTGAAGTCGCACGGAGGAAGGATAGGGGGTCGGGGGCAGAGCTGTCGAAGGAAGTGTGCCCAGTCTTTGCAGCCCGCCAGTTCCCTGCACCGTGCTTCACAGAGCCAGAGCCTTTTACTCCTGAGGTGGGAAGCTGCTAAATACAGATTCCTGAGCCCCTCAGACCTGCTGAATCCCACCTCTAAGGGGGCCCTGGAAACTGCATCTTAACAAGTGGGGGTGGGTTACAAAGCACTAAAGACAGAAATATCTCCTCAAATGTAGGTGGTCCATGGCGGGGTGGGGGTGGGGGTATACAGGAGAGAACAAAGGAAGAAATGTTAGATCCCACCCCCCCAAACACACACACACACACATACACACAGACAGACTTCTTGGGAAGTTACAAACAATACTCCTGCGTGGAGAGGTGATACCAGTGATGGGGAAGAGAGAATGGAGAGGCAGAGCGGCCACAGACACAGAAAGGGGATGGGGGACACCCAGAATAAGCATCCACGGAGGAAACAGACTCGCGGGGCGCACCCCCCTCCTGCCGAACCTCTGAGAGACTACACTTCTGGCCCCGGGCTGTGGAGACCCTGGAAGAGCCCCACGCTCCGTTTCTGGGCGAAGTGTCAGGGAGGAAACCTCCCAACCGCAAGTCCCGGCGCCCTCGCTGGAAGTTCAACGCACGGATGAACAGAGACACACCTGCCACTCCCGGGTCCGGGCCCTGGACTCCTGCACTCGAACTGGCTCAGGCGCGGCGCGGGTCTGACCTCCTCCCTCTATCCCCAGCCCCAGGTCCCAGCTCATCTGCATAAAGTTCCCAGTAACACTTGAATTTCCTACAGCTATTTACAACCCCTGAACACGCTCCAAGCTCAGGAGCCCTCTTCCCGCCTCCCCCTCGCCCCCCGGATTGCGGCCCCATTAACCCACGCGACCCAGCCGCTCCCCGCGGCCTTGACCCCGCCGGCCTGGCCAGCGCCGGGGGTAGGTGGTTGGGGGTCTAGGGAGTCAGGGGCGCGCCCCGGGGCGAGCGACTGCACAGTGGGGTCTGTCACAGGCCAGAGGCCACGCTCTCCGGGAAAAAGACAGGTGCTGCTGCCCTCCCTCTTTCTGGGAAGAGATGGGGAGGGGGCTTCTCCCGGGAGACTCGGGGCGTCGAAATTCTTGGTTCCTCATCCGCCGGCCCCCGCACCCCTCCTCCTCCTGCCACGTACCCTCTCCCTTCCCCAGCCATCTGTTCCACTCGGCAGCGCCGCGACAAACACGGCTCCAGCTCGCTTCCGCCCCTGCCCAGCCCCCTCCCCAAGCTCCCCACCCGGGTGGGGGGAGTGAGAAGACACCCTCCCCCAAGAGGCCGAGGTTTCTGCCTTCGCTGCCCACCGGGTCCCAAGCCCCAGCCGGGCAGGGGCCAGCGCCCAGGTCCCCTCCTCCCCCTCCTCCGGTCTCGAGGGTCGGTGGGGCTGGAGGTGCCGCTCGAAAGGGTGGGGACCAGGCAGGGGGCGGGGAGATCTCAAAGAAAGGCCGAGCCAGCCAGGGCAGGGGGCTGGATGTCGAGACCGCGGGGAAGCAGACTGGTGGGCAGGGTGTGCGTGTGCAGGGGTGCGGCTGTTCACTTCCCGGCTCCCTTAGCCCCTCCACCGCGCCCAGCCCCGCCCCTCCCCCACCCAGTCCCAGCTGCAGCCGCGCAGCGCCACCTGCCGGGCACCCCGCGTACCGGCGCACAGGCCGGGCTTCCTCCGCCTGCCGGAGTCCAGTGGGCTCCCACGCCTCCACCAGACTCCGGCGAGTCAAGGACCGGGACAGCAAGTGCAGTGAGACCCGAGAAGCCCTCTGGGAACCCACGGCAGCCGTTGGTGGGTGCTGTCCAATTCTGATTTGGTATTTTGCCAAAAGGGCAGTGTTGGAATCCAGGAGGCTGGGCTCAGATCTGCTATGTGATTTTTGCCAAGTCTCCAGACCCCTCTGGACGTTTTCTCATCTGTAAAATGGGTGGGTGAGTCTTTTCCATGAATGTCTGAAGAGAGTCAAAGACAAAGGGATGGCTTATCTGTAATACAGTCTGCTAGGTTCTAACATAGGGGTTCTTTCTCCAAGGTTTTCCGAGGGAGAGGAGGTGGGTGAGGCCTTGAAGGCCACTCTCAGCCCTGAGTGGGCAGCTGCGAGCCGGGCTGGGAAGCCTGAGACCTCCCATTTGCTGTTGACTGCCCTGGCAGGCCTGTGGTTGGGACTCAGCAGCCAGACTGCCCAGAGGTCCAGGCTCAGCTCCACCACCTGTGTCCTTTGGTTTTGTGGCCCAAACTTTCAGCATGACGTTGAGGACCTCTTGGGCTGTAGTTAGGATGACATGAGACATCTGTGCAGACAGGCATACCCTCAAAAAATGGTAGTGCCCCTTCCTGCCCCCTGCCTCCATTCTGTGACTTAACTCTAGCCTCTAAGACTTGTGTCCCAGGGAGACTAGTGGGATAAATAAGGTGTGTCTTCTGGAATATCACATGTCCTCAAACACGGTATCTTCCCTTGGTGCAGGCAATTTTAAAGCCTCACTTTAATGCTAAGAGTAAATATAAATATAGTGTAAAATAAAGCTCAAAATTTGCATGACGTTTTAGCAGATTATCAAAAAGTTACTTTCAACAGGCCCCCAGGGATGCTTTGGTGGGAAAGTGAGAGCCTTCCATTGTTTCCAAAGCATCCTGCCCTGACTCCTGTAGGGAGGAAGACCAGCCTCCCGGATGTACCCCAGCCGCTGGGAAGTGGGGGTAGGAGCAGAGGGCAGAGTCTGGATCCAGACTCTAAGGACAGGGCATGACCGAGGACAGGGAAGGGAGCGGGCCCGCCAGCCCTCGGTGGACAGGCTGGCACCTTGGGCGTCCTACTTAATGCCCAGCAAAACCTGGGTGAAGAGGGTGGGTGGGGGTGTGGGAAGACATAGGCACACACCAGCCAGTCTCTCACTTCCCTTTTTATTTCCTCTGAGATCTGCAAGAAGCAGCACCAGGGAGGGAACCTGCCCTCCAACCCCTGAAAGGGGCTTACTCCCCCCTACCCCACCCCATCCCTCAGCCAGCACCTCAGGCCCCTTTCCTCTAGGGAAAGGTTGGTTCCTACACACACACACAACTGCACACACTTGCATGCACGCTCTGAGCCTTGCACAAGCAGGGCTTGTTTGCTAATCCCACAAGCCCCAGGAGGCACCAGGAGGCTATAGGCCCAGAGAAAGGGCAGCTCCACACCCTGGTCTCCTCCAGTGTAGGAGGAAGACACCCCATCCTTCTAGCACAGGGGCTGTCTGTCTTCAGTCAAGGGTGCATTGCTTTGGGGGAATTTTTTTAGGGATTTTTTTTTCTTTTAGCAAGTCCCTACAAAAATAGAACTTCTCTTGGTATTTATAAATCCACATCCCCTGGCTCTGTGAGGATTACAGGTAGAAAAGCCGTACGAGGCATTCCCTTTGGTTGCTCAGGCCTTGGTGGCCCGTCACCCAGGTCCCTTGGCCTCAGAGGTCTATGCTGTCACCTCGGAGCTGCGCAGCGCCTTCTGTGGGCCCTCCCAGTCGGTGGCGTACTCCCTCTGGAGCTGAGCACGGTAGTAGAAGAGGTAGGAAGGTAGCAGGAATCCCAGGAGTGAGAAGAGCAGGAGGCCCAGATTCACCTTGAGGGCAAAGAGAGAGACAGAGTCAAGGAGGTTCTCATCAAGGAGGTCCTCATTCTCCCTCACCTTCCTCAGGGACCCAGCACAGCCTCCATAAAGGGAGAAGAAGGCAGCCATTTCAATCCAGGTCCTGGGCCAGGATGACAAATATAGTTAGCACTTATTGTGTTTAGTCACTGTTCCAGTAGTATCTCATTTAATGCTGAGCGGCCCTGTAACATAGCAGAGCCTGGTTTGAATCCTGGCTAACCCCAGTGCCCACAGGGTCTGGCACCCTCCAGGTGGACATGAGAAAGGGCAGCACCTGGCCAGGCTGCTCCTGAACCTCTGAGGACACAACAGTGAGATCATTTGGGGTGGTAAGAGGCTCCCAGGCAGCCCAAGGAGCTGGGGTGCACAGCCTGAAGGACAGAAGGCTCGGGAGGCCCAGCACTGTGGCCTCCTGTGGGCCAGGACTCCATCCATGTCCCACTCTGCATTACTCTGGGCATTTGACTCTGGGCAAGTCATCTCGACCCTTACGTGCCTCCTTCTCGGCGCTGCTGCAGCAGAGATGAAGCAATAAAAAAAGCACATGGTGTGCTGAGCACCTAGAGTGTGCTCCGCCGTAAATGGCAGCTGTCACTTTATCTTTGTTCTTGTGGCACATGGGGCAGGGAGATCAGCTTGCAGGAGGCAGGTCTCAGTTCAATGCAAGGAAAAGCCTTTCCAACAGTCCCCACAGTGGCTGCCTCATGCAGGGGTGGCACCTGTCACTGAGAGGTCTCGAGGGGCCCTGCTGTCGGGGTGCTGGAGAGGGTCCCTACACTGGGTGGAACTGGACTGGATCAGGGCTGGGCCATTTCATACATCACCCGGAAGCTTATTAAAAGCAGACTCCTGGGCCCAGTCCAAGAGCCTCTGATTCAATACGCTGGGGAACTTAACTCTCTGCAAGGGGTCCTGACGGGCAGCCAGCTCAGGGAACCCCCAGACTAGAGACTTCCAAGGCATCTCCTGGCTGAGGTGAGAGGAGCGGGGGGACTCTATCACATACAAGCCCACCACCCCCAACTCCTGGGCTGCACCCAGGAAGGGGGCTCCTGTTTCCCCCATGTCTCCCCCAGTTCTCACCCAGAAGGGGTCCCCTTTCAAGGGTTTCACCATGGCCACGAAGAGCAGCTGCTGGAGCAGGGCAAACAGGGCACTGATGAGGGACTGCAGACCTGTCAGCGTCCCAAAGTGGCTGGACGGGAACCTGTCAAGGAGAGGGGGCCAAGCGTGAAGGGCGTGTGGTCTTCTCCTGCCCGGCACCCTCCCAGTGCCCCTCCCCAGACACTGGCCTCTGCTTGCCAGGCAGGGGAGAGCCTCAGAGTTCAGGTTCTGTGTGTGCTCTTTGGTTCATGACCTGGAGGGTGTATGCCATGACTTCAGGGCCACCAAACTGGCCTCTGACACCTCCTGCCCATGTGATAACAGTAACTCAAGCTCTCTGAGCCTTACTTCCTCCACTGGAAACAAGGCTAGCTCTAACCTCACTGAGATGTTCATTATTCTTTTAACACCTATTTATTGAGCTCCTACTATGTGCCAGCTGCCAGTCTAGGCGTGTGGGGATTCAGCCATGAACCAAGCCGATTCCCGTGGAGGCGGGGGGTAGTCAGCCAGAAAGCAAGATACGGCACAGTGTGTTAGCCGGTGATACGAGCCAAGGAGAGCAGTTAAGCAGGGAAGCAGGGGAAGGGGTGGAGGGGGCTGTGTTGTAGACAGGATGGCTGGGGGCTATGAGTCTGAGAAGAGGCCGGCTAGGTAGAGACCCGGAGAAAGTGAGACAGCTGTGAGCCTTGGGGGAAGAATGTTCTGGGAAGAGGGGACATGCTTGGGGTTTATGAGGCCGTAGGGGGAGGGTGTGTGAGCAAGCAGGGGAGGGGAAGGAGGAGGGCAGCGAGGTCCCAGGGCCAGATCTTGTGGGGCCTTTTAGGCCATAATAAAGCCTTTGGCTTTTTATCTTAGTGAGGCAAGATGGGAAGCCATGGAGTGCCATGAAGAGACTTATGTCCCAACAGGTGTCTGCAGCTCTTGGGTTAAAAATAGCCCGAGGGCAGCCAGGACAGCAGTGGCAGCGGTTGGGGGTGGGGACCATCAGGACTGGACGTGGAGGGGCAGGATGGCTGCTGGACTGGAGGTGGGGCGCGAGGAAGTGAAGACCCGAGAGCGACCCCACAGCTGTGGCCTGAAACAAGGAAGGAGGACACGGCGCTGAGGCGGCGGACAGTGGGGAGGTTCCAACCAGGGAGTGCTGGTCCAGCGTCCCACAGTGCGCCTGCCGGGGCTATACGGGCTCAGTAACGATCACAACCCTGCCGCCACCACCACCGCTGTAACGTCCTGCATCACTGCATCGCACAGGCATGGGGGCCCCTCGGCAGTGCCTGGCAGTGGGAATCAGAAGAGAGAGAGGGGAACCGGGAGCCACTCGACGGGAAGCAGGAAACGCAAAAGACAAATGAGGCTGCGGTCTGGGAGTTTCTACGGGGCTGAGATAGAGGCCCCTGGGGAAACCAGTCCAGAGACAAGACGTAGGACCCAGGTGTTGTCAAGCCCAGTATGTCAGCTTCCTATGAGGGAAGACCTTCTGACGGTGCGCTTGTCCTGCAGCGGGGTGGGCTTCCTCGGAGGCAGTGAGCTCCCCGTCATGATTAGAGGGGCTCCGAACGGGCAGTGGACCAGACAGCCTCAGACCCCCACCGACCCGCTCCATCCATCTCATCCTCGGAGATGCCACCGTGCCAGGCAGGCTGGGGAGGACATGCACACCTACCAGGGCTGGGAGGGGTGCCTTAGCAGACGCCTAGGGCCCTTCTGTCTCTGCTCTGGGATCCTCTGGGGATAAGGGGAAAGCTCAGGAAGGCAGTCCAGCCCAGGCTGACTCACACAGCAGCGTAGAGGCCGCCACAGGCTGAGTGGTAGAAACCTCGGATCACAGTGTGCAGGACAAAGGTCACAAACTGAAACCGAAAGGGAGAGGGAAGAGGTTACGAGCAGGATGAAAGCAGGACAGGTGGGTGACGGGAGGAGGGAGCCTCACCGGGCCCGCCTGCACCTGCCGACCTTCTCCACAACCCAAGCACCTAGAGACGCTCCCTGGAACACCCAGAAAATTGACCCCGAGGACCACAAGAACCTCATCTCCTGGAAGGCAGGGGCCAGGGGAACAGTCCAGAACGGTCCCTTTGGAGGAGTCCTGGGAGGCAGGGAGAATGGGGAGAGCGGCCAGAGGTACCTGGAGGTGTAAGTTGTGGATCAGGCAGGTGATGCCAAAAGCCACAAGCAGAATGTTGGTCAGGGTGAAGGCATTGATGGCGTTGGTGAGCTTCTGGATCTTGAGGTAGCGCGGCCTGGCGGACTTGGTAGCAACGCCGTCCCTGATGAGGACAGAGTGTCACTGGCCACTGCAGCTGCCTCTACCTCCCCTGAAGCTCTCTGGTGCTCAGCCCGGCCCCTCCCCCTTCTGCCGTGCCTTTGCTGCTCCGGCCCTGGTTTCTCACAGTGCGGCTCCCCCACCAACTACACCAACATTACCGGGTGACTTCCTGAAATACAGGGTCCAGGGCCCCGGCCCAGACCTCAGACTCTTAGGAGCGGGGCCCAGGAATCTGCATTTGGACAGAGACTCCAGAGACACTGAAGTCTGAGACTCAAGGATGGGAAGGAACGTGGAGAATGGAGAGCTCTCACGCCATCTCTCTTCAGGAAAGCGTCTCTGCCCACCAGCCTGGACAAGTGTGACTGCCCAGCAAACCCCGCTCTGTTGCAGGGTCGGGGCTCCAAGGCCAGCCGGCCCACAGGAGGGCTCAGTAGGTTGGGACGAGGGCGGGCTGGCATGGGGCCTAGACAGAAGGGCCCTCCTAATGGACCCCGGCTACCAGGAGCAGAGGGCAGAGCAGGAGGGCCGGTGCCAGCCCCAGGGCCCCGCTGGTGGGGAGGGAGGCCACTGGATTGCTCCTTAGACACCTTCCTTCCTCATCTCCTTCTCCCAGCCTCGAAGGACAAACGGGGACTATTGGCTTAACGCAAAGAATGCCGAAGTCCGATGTTCCCAGTTCAAGACCCAACAGTGGTCTCCAGCCAACAACAGTCCCCCAAACCCCCGCCTCCTGGGGTGACCCCTGCTTCCTGGTATTCACATCCCATGGAGCCCTGCCACACTGCACCCGAGTGACTGTGTGACCACTAGAATGTGACGGGAGTGATGGCGGGTCACCTCTGAGATTACATTACGAAAGACACTCTAGCTTCTGTCTTGGTCTCCCCCCACTCAGACCTTGCCCTGGGGAAGCCAGTGGCCCTGTCGTGGGCAGCGCTTCGGAGAAGCCCCGGTAGGGACACGGAGCCCTCTGCCCAATAGCACATGGGTAAGTGTAGGAGCCAACGCTCCAGCCCCAGTAAACCCTTCAGACGATCGCGGGCCTGGCGGACAGCTTGCTTGCAAGCTTATGAGCCTGAATGTTTGTTTTCCCCCTAAAATTCACACATTGAAATCATAGTGCCCAGCGTGACCATATTAGGAGGTGGGGCCCCTGGGAGCTGATTAAGTCACGAGAGCAGAGACCTCATCATAGGATTGGTGCCCTTAGGAAAGGGACCCCACAGGGCTTCCTAGCTGTCTTCTGCTGTGCAAGGGCACAGCAGGAAATCCGCAACCCAGAAGAGGGGCCTCGCTCAACCATGCTGACACCCTGACCTCGGGCTTCCAGCCTCCAGCACTGTACAAACGAAATTTGTTTTTCATAAGCCGCCTAGCCTGTGGGACTTCGTGATGGCAGCCCGAACAGACTCAGAGAGACTCTGAGAACCGCTCGGCTACGTCATTCCTAGATTCCTGACTCCCAGAAACTCTATGAGATAAACGTTTCTTGTTTAAAGATGCCAGGTTTGGAGGTAACCCGTTATCCAGCAATAGGTAACTAATACAACCCGTCTTTGTAGCATAGGTTGCCCGCTACTAAAAGCTGTGTGGCCCTGGGTAAGCTGCTGAACCTTTCTGTGTCTCAGCTTCCTCACCTGTGAAATGAGGGTGATGTTCCTACCTCAGAGCTGCTGCAGGACTAAGTAAGACAGTGCCTCGTGCAGTCAGCAGCTGCACTGACCAAGCAGGCCGTGTCCCTGCTTTGGCCTCAGTTTCCTCTACTGTAAAGTTAGGGAGGTACCTGGCTTTCTCAGGGCTCTTGGGGGAATGACAGAAGACGCTGGGTGTGAAAGCACGTGGAGAATGAAAAGCACCGTCTGTCTACTTGCTGTCCCCTTCGCAGTGCGGCTGACCTGGCGTCTCCGAGGGCAAGGCCCTCAGCGGGGGTGTCCACGCAGTCCTTGATCCGCCAGTCCATGATGTAGCCGATGAGAGGGCAGGTGAGAAGACACAGCAGCTGCATGGCCCCGAAGATGGAGGAGTAGAACTCAACTGGCAGGGCGGGAAGGCAGCGGGGTCAGGAGCGGGCAGGAGGGACGCCAGCAGCCCAGGTGAGAAGAGGGACTGCCCACATGGCCTCCCTAGGACCCCACAATCTTAGATCTCCCAAATGCCCGGGGTGACGGGGTAGGTCCAGGCTCCCTGCCAAGTGGGCAGTAGGGGTGTGGGTGCAGGCCAGGGTCCCGGCTTTCGCCCCCCTACCTGTCTCTTCTGCCCTTTGTTTCAGGTCGGCTGTCTCTGTTGGGGGTAGCAGGAAGAGAAGCCGGGTAAGAGGAGCTCAACCAGGGGGACCCTCCTGTGCCCCCCAGTGGGCTCAGCAGCACCTCACCATGCTCCTGGCCACCGGTCACAAGGAACTCCAGCATCTTGTTCATCGCAGCCATGTAAAAGATGACCCGCAGCTGGGTTATGCCCATGGTGAGGAGGCTCCACAGGAAGATGGGGGAGCAGAGACTCTTGCAGAAGGGGACAGACTCTGGGGAGACAGCAGGGGGCGCCCCTGAGCCCCAGATCTTCCATTTCCCTCTGAATGTCCCAACCCATGCAGGTCCAGTGAAGGCTCTGACACTATGTGACTTTGGAGAGAAACTGGTTTCTTCAAAAACAAGGGTTCAGGCCCTCTGGCTTCTAAGTTCTTGCCCAGCTCCATAACTATCTCAACAGAACATTTTTAGGTGATCTCTGGATGTAAAACCATATGCTTGGTGTGGTAATAACAACTCTAGCTGCTTTTTATTAAACAGCTACTACGTGCTGCACACTCAGCACATATTACCCTATTTAATCCAACTGGACAACAGCCCTATCTTTGCCACATACTATAGATGAGGAGACTACAGCTCAGGAAGTCCACTGAGCTCACGGGGCCAGGAGCTGCGGGCCAGCCAGACTCAGCTCACGCCCAAAACTCGGCCATGGGAGAACCAGCAATGGGGATTCCACCCTGATAACTGCAGTGTTCTGCATTTTACAAAGGGCTTCTGCATCCATGGCTCCATTCAATCCTCACAACTAACTTCAGCTTCCCTGAGAGATGGGTGTTACCAGTGCTGGTTTGAGAGACAGGAAAACGAGAGCAGGGCTAAGTGATCTAACCCAAGTCAGGCGTGTAAGTGGGGAGCGGGACTCAAACCCCTGTCTCCTGACTCCAAGGCCAGTGACCCTGCCGCTAATCTGAACTGACACCTTGGGAAGTAGCCCAGGCAGAAGGCGGGTTGAGACTCCTCCTGAAGCCAGCAGGGGGCGTCGGCCAGCCAGGTGTTGGAGGACCCAGCTCACCTGATGCAAGAGGTTCAGAGGTTGCAGGGAACCCTGATGAAACCAGTTGCCTTACAGGCCTGGAGACTCTGCCCTATTCCCTCTCCACCCCCAGGAATCCAGTTGAGTACCCCCAAATCTGAACTTGACAGAATTCTCTGAGCTCTAATTCCTGCTCTTTCCCATTCTGTAAGTGGGGACTGCCCGCCTGCATCATGGGGTGTCGTGAAAATTGACGAGGGGAGAGATGGGCCCTTGGGGGCGAGTGCTCGCTGAGCACGTGGACCCGCCTTCCCCAGCCCCCCCAGGCTGGCACCTTGAGCAGACACTCACTCTCATCAGGGTTTTCTGAGCTGCCAGGAGCGTCCTGAGAGGAGATGTCATCCCCCTCCACGCTGGGACTCCTCTGGCTCAGCCGCTGGCCCACGATGGTCACATGGGTGTAGAAGCGGTCACCTGTCACCTTGTGATCCAGGGCCAGCCCGGTAAGCTTAATCTTCTTCCTGCCGGCAGCCAGGCCGGAGCAAATAGGAACCAGCCCTGCAGAGCCCACCCCCAACACCCTGCCTCCAGGGGCTGCCCCAGTCATCCTTGGGGTGCCCAGCACTAACATGCCCCTGGATGAGCTCCACAGTGCAGGGCTCACTTCCGAGTCCCTCAGAGCCTGGCCCAGGGACCAGCATAGCACCCAGGAAATGAAGATTAGAAGAGTCGTTTTCCACTGGGGCTGTTGCCATGGAGGCTGCATTAAGAATTCAAACTGGAGTCAGAAAGCCTGGTTCACAACCCCACCCGCCTTTCAAAGGTATGACCTTGGGAAAGTCATTTTGGTCCCTACACCTTTGTTATTGATGGAGTTAAGGGCTATAGGAGAATGGTATGAGCTAAGCACAATGGCTGACTTAGGAGGCACTCAGTATATACCAGCTGTTTGGTGGGCACCTATGTGCTTGGTTGTGGAGCACCACACACACACACACACACACACACACACACACACACACCCTGGTGAACTGACAGGGAGCTGGGAAAAGCTGGCATTCAGGCTACACACAAAGGGTGGTATATTTCTTTTGTGTCCCCTCCTGGGCCTTCATGGCTATTGCTGGGGTCCCCCCTACTCTGATCCCGTCCTCCAAACCAAGAAAGGATAATAATAATAATAATAATAATAATAATTAATAATAATAACAACAGTCACCATGTTTTGACTGCCTGTTATGCACCAGGTCTATTCCAAACACTTGGTGTGCAGACTCAGGCCCACGGTAAGGATGAGAAAGCGGAGCTTGGACAGCTCAGGTCATTTGCAAACCCAGGTCTCTCTGACTCCAGAGCTCACTCTATCCATCGCACCACCACACCCCTGGCCTCCCCCTCTGTAGGCGGGAGGTCCCCCCTCCACCCAGCGCCCCCACAGAGCCACTCACGTGTAGCTGCCTTCCTCAGGAGCGGGAAAGGACTCGGCGGGCCAGTTGAGGGCACAGTTCAGAAAGATGAGGCAGGCCAGGCCCGACCAGGTGAACATGATGACCACAAAGAACACACCAGCATTACAGAGCAGCTGTGGGAGGAGGGGGCAGACTCATGGGGAGGCCGCCGGGCCCCAGACCCCCCTCTTCCAGGCTCAGAGGCCTCAGAGAAGGTCTCTTCTACCCCATTCCCAGCGTCCACTTTGAAGATGAGGAAGCCAAGCCTAGAAGTTGAGAGGCCTAGAAGAGAGGCAGCCCTCCATCCCTTTCACACTGCTCCACCCTAGAGTGGGGGGCAGTAGTTCCCACAAGGTGCTGAAGCTGCTGCCCACAGCCCAGAATGTCTTTGAAATCTCAATTATTATCTTAAAAAGAGACACACTTTGCCAATGACTCCATACATGTTTGTTTTACACAAAACTGTCGTGTCATTTTGCAGGTACCAAAAAAAGGAGAAGTGAGCTTCTAGGTTTACAAGGCCCAGCCAGGTTTATCCTGCCCCTTCCTGGCCTGTTCCCTGGGGGAAAGGTAAACCCAAGCTGATAAACCTTATCTCACCTTTCCCAGGGGGAGGGGGAGTGTGCGAGGGCCCTGCCCAAGGCCTCCTAACCCAGGACAAGCAGGTCTTGAATTGACTGGGATTCTGTGCCAATGTGTCAGCCCCTCTGCTGGGGAAGCCAGGTGTGTGGGATGGTGTCACTCCTCTCGTCCCACCAGCCACCCTCTGCCTGGAATTGTGCGCCTCTGCCCTCCCCACCCTCAGGCTCCACTGCTGCCCAGGAAAGCTGCAGCTGCTGCTCCGGTCCTCCTCCACCAGGGAGCTCTTTCTTCACCGAGGACAGGACAGGACTTCAAAGGGCGGAATCCCAAAGGAGTGGAGATAAGATCTGGCTCCTCAGGCCCCACTGCCTCAGCTGAACAGAAGGGAGAGCCACCACCTTCCCTGCCTGCTGCTGCCTGACCAACTGGCAGCCGCCTCACCAATGGACACTTTCAAACTCCTTTGGGGACACTGGGCAAGTGCCTTCTAAACTAACAAATTAACTGCCTAAGGCACATTCTGAGGGGCATACTGTGGCCCATTGGAAAGGGTGCTTTGTTACCATTTGATATCGGAGAAAGAAACGAGGCCTCAAGCTTGCCCAGAACCAGAACTCAGGCCTTCTGACTCTAGGTCCACCTTGCTGACCTGTCTAGGATCTGGCCTGGCATAGATTAGCTTTCTGACCTTGCCTCCAAGTCAGCCAGCCTCTCCAGGGCAGGGGGAGGAGATGTGGCTGGAAAGATTGGGGGAGGGCAGAGAACCAAGAGCTTTGAACGCATGTGAACAGGTTGGACTTGATTCTGCAGGCAAAGCAAGTGGGTGTGTGAGTGAGTTCTCCATCAAAGATCATTCTGTAGGTCATGTGAATGGCAGATGGTAGAGGGAAACAATCACAGGCAAGAGGACCCGCTGAGAAAGCCTACACTGGCCCAGGGAGAGGGTGAGGGCCTGGGCTGGGACAATGGTAATGGAAAAGAGGAGAGAAGAGAAATCAGACCCTCTAGTGGGCAACAGTGCCTGAACTCTTCCCACTATGCCTCTGTGCTTTTCCCAGAGGTGGAGGGAACTGACCTCTGACTGATAGGAACTGGGTCACCAGACACTAGCCACTATGTACCCAGCCCCACCCAATTCTTGTGTAAAGACAAAAAGAAAACAGTGACCTCACCGTCCCCCCAGGCAGTTCCAAACCTTGATTCCTGGGAATGTGATGGCCGAAGAGGCGTAGGAGCCGATCATGAGGGCCATGATGGTGGAGCGCAGGTTCCCAAACATGTTGGGCAGCTGAGGGAGAAGGACAGTGCCCAGTGAGTGGGGGGACCCTGACAGCCGCACAGGCCTCCCCTCTCCCAGCCCCACCTGAGAAATGTGGAAGCATGCAGCCCAGCGTCCTCACAGCGAGCTCCAAGAACACCAGCCCCACGAGACGCCACACAGAAGTTCTAAGGCAAGTCGATGTTGGAGACTGCTCCGACCCTCTCCCACAGGCTCCCAAGGCACTTCAGCATCTAAAATTCTCCCAAAAGCACCCTCAAGAGAAATACGGTCAATTTGTTTAACCCCAGGGTTTCCCAAGTTAGTTCCTTATGGAGCCCCTTTATCCTGTGATGCCTCTTAACCCATAAAATGAATGTTTAAGAAACACTGATCTACTTCATGCCCTGGCTGATATGGCTGGTGAGTGCTGGCCTGTGAACCCAAGGGTCACCGGTTCGATTCCCAGTCAGGGTACATGCCTGGACTGTGGGCCAGGTCACCAGTTGTGAGGCATGCAAGAGGCAACCGATCAATGTTTCTCTCCCTCTCTTTCTCCCTCCCTTCCCCTCTCTAAAACAAATAAAATCTATTTTTTTTTTAATTTTTAAAAATTTTATTTATTTTTTAGAGAGGGAAGGGAGGGAGTTAGAGAGAGAAACATCAATGTGCAGTTGCTGGGGGTTATGGCCTGCAACCCAGTCATGGACCCTGGCTGGGAATCGAACCTGCGACACTTTGGTTCGCAACCCGCGCTCAATCCACTGAGCTATGCCAGCCAGGGCAATAAAATCTTTTTAAAAAATAAAAAATAAAAGTAAATAAAATAAAAAAGAAATACTAATCTACTTCCTAAGTTATATAAATGTCAAATCACTATGGTGTACATCTGAAACTAATGTAATATGTCCACTGTAATTGGAAAATAATTTGTTATGTCAACTGTTATTGGAAAAAAAATTTTAAAGATTTTATTTACTTTTAAAGAGAGGGACAGGGAGTGAGAGAGAGAGAAAGAGCAATGTGCAAAAGCTACATGGATCGGTCGCCTCTCCCACACCTGCAACTGGGACCTGCCCAGCAACCCAGGAATGTGCCCCCACCAGGAATCAAACCATCGACTTTTTGGTTCTCAGGCCAGCGCTCAATCCACTGAGCAACACCAAATTTTTTTAAAAGGAAAGAAAGAGACAATGATTTAATGCAACTCATTTGACAGATGAGAAAACTGAAGTCCAGAGAGGAAAAGGAATCTACTCAAGTTCACAGAGCACGTTAATGACATTTTCCTGTCTGGCCATTCTAGTTTTGTTCATTCCAGACCCCAAGGCTGTGACCACGGCTGGCTGGCTCCGTAATGAGATGGTGCTCCTCAACCTTGCCAGTGGCCCCGAAGGCCTGAGTCCACAGTTTCTGCTGAGCCAGGACCAGTCACGGGAAGGGCTCGGGAGGTGAGGGTGGGACCATGGCAGCCAGGTGTCTGCGTCACAGAACTCCTACCAGTAGGGCATTAACTGACTGCCTGTTCTGCTCCCTGGCCTGAGCCAGGCCCCCAGGGCCGGGGAAAGCAAAGTCACACCCCACTCTGGCCCCACCACCCTCCCCAGGTCAATAGATCCCACAGCTGGGAAGGGCCTTAAAGGCTTAAACCCTCTCAACAGAGGGGAAAACCAAAGCCCAGAAGGCAACCTCAAATAGCTCCAGAAAGGAAGGTGGATACACACAGAGAATGGAGTCCCCCACCAACCTCCAAGTAGCTATGAGAAGGGTGTGGGGCCAGGCCGACCCCTACTCCCTGGCACCTACCTGTATCAGCAAGGCATACTGCCAAGGCCACCAGGGAAAGTGCCAGGACCAGGACCGGCCAGGCCCGTGGCGCCGCCCCCAAACCCAAGGGTCCCAGGGCACAGTCTCCACCCAGCACGGCCCAAGGCCAGCCCCGCTAACCCCAGCTGTCCCGACAGGCTGGGCAGCACTAGATGTCCTGGCTGGGATCCGTCCTGGCCGGATCCGAGCTCAGGCGGAGGCCCGGGGGGGGGGGGGGGGGGGGGGGGGTGCCGGCGCCGGCCGAGGGCGAGCCTGCCATTGGCTGGAGATTACGGGTGGCCGGGCCGGGGGAGGAGCGCTGGGAGGTCCTGGGAGGTCCGCAGGCAGAGCACCCGAAAGCCAGCCCCGCTGGAGAGCCAGGGCTGGGTCCAAGGTTAGGATCCCCGCTACGGCCGTGCTGCGCAGGGCGGCAGAAAAGGGATTTAGGGCCCTGAGCCAAGATGCACAGAGTGGAGAAAGGGTACGAAGGGGAGCGGGGCGGAAGAGATTTGCTTCCTTAGAGAATTGTGAAATGTCCCGGGCTGAGGGGAAATTCAGCCAAAAACACCCAGTTTGGTGGTCAGGCCGCTCTCATACGGAGATAAACAGCCAGCTGCTGCCAGAAACCGCTCCCCTCGCCACGCACTCATAAGCCTTGAACCCTTATGCTCGCTCACCCACATACACAAACATATACACTTAAAGTAACACAAGCAAAACTCACACACACGTGTAAGAGGTCGAGCCACGTGACGGGGCCGTTTTTGTAGGTCGAATGCGGTCAAGTGCCGGCAGTTTCCTACACTTCAGTCAAACACGCGCGCGAATACCTGTGCCTTCTCACACGCCGTCCCAAGGACAGGCCCCGAGTACACGATGAGGCAAACACCCGCTGTCCCAAGCTGTCCCTCCCCTTGTCACTATCACATTACCTCGTTTTACTTTCCAGCACTTTCGACTACAGACAAAACGTATTCGTTTTCTTGTTTGGGGGTTGCCTGTGTCCCCATCCCACCCCCCCCCCGCCATGCAAGTTCCAGGAAGCTGAGGAAGTTCAGTTCCCTTTGGGCTGCAGGCAGGGTGCCTAGAACAGAGCTCAATAGACCGTCACACACACGTCCACTGGCCACTATCCACTGTCACCTTCACTCACTCCTACCCCCACCCTCCCCTGGGTGCCCTGCTGCCAAGCCAGAGCCTATCATACTCACCGTGAGTGAAGAGAACGTTAGGCAGATGCCACCAAAGCCGTTCAGGGACAGCGCCAGGAATATCAATGGAGACAGAACTGGGAAGGGGAAAGGGGTGAATGAGGGCATCTGGGAGCTGTGGGAGGCCAAGGGCAGAAGCTGGGGTAAACGTCCACCTCCATCCCACTCATTCTTTCTCGTGGGGGCACAAGAGGCTAGACCTCTCACCTTCGGTGTCCCAAGAGGCCAGGGCCATGAGGGTGCAGGATGCAGCAAAGCAGGCGCTGTGGAAATTGACAGGGGAAGGCGGGGCCGGTGATCGGGAATACTCTGAGCCTCCTCTCCCGCTGCAGCACCAGCCCCTGCCCCTCCAGCTCCCCGAGGCCTGGCCCGACCACCTCACCTGCCAAGCAGGCGGGTGGGCCTGGGGCCAAAGCGGTCCATGACGATCCCCAGCGGCAGGGTGGTGGCGCTGAGCACGAAGGAGCCGATGGTGAAGCCCAGGTTGAGCATCTCTTCCTGATCGTCACAGCTGGGCTTCTGGAGCTGTGCACCTTGAGTGGTGTTAGTGGTGTTCTCAGCTGAGGAGGAGGAAGGGAGGGAGGGCTCAGCACATACCAGCAGGAGCAGCTGGGCACAGGGGAGAGCAGCCTGGGGCCAGGGGCCCTGTGCTCAAGTCCCATGCCTCTGGTTTACTGCCAGCCAGGCGACCTTGGGCGGCCTAGAGTCATGTCCATGCTGCTGGGGAAGGGACTCCACAAATGGCAGCAACTAGTACCTCACCCAAAGGGAGTCACACACCTAATCGGAGGCCTCGACTAGTTCAAACACGATCATAGACATCACGTTATTTTACCAAGTCATAAGATCCACTCAATGTCCCAGCTTAGGGTGTGCAGACCCCCAACAGGAGGCACCCCCGAATCTGGGGGACAAAGTCAGTAAGTGATGCTTAGTTGATGTAACAAGAATTCACTTAAAACTCAGAGGAAGCTTTCCCCATAAATAACATTCTGATAAAAATAGCCAATATTTACAGAACACTTAACTATGTTCTAGGCATTGTTCTCAGCAGCCACTGAATGAACCCAATACAGCCCCCACGAGTCAGCAAATAAAGTATCTCCATTCTCCAGATGATAAAACTGAGGTGCAAAACGAGGACCATGGCACTGCCCTCCCCACACCCTTTAGGAGTTCACCCGAAGGACTTGTCCCCCCAGATAAACAGCCAGCTTGGAGTTGTGACAAGTTATGAGAAAAGGCTTGTAATGCTTGTGGTGGGGGAAGGTGGGTGATTTAACTACATTCAGTGCTCAGTGAGCCATGAGGTGGCAGCTCCCTTGCCTGTTTGTTACTTAGGCATCATTGCCAAGGGCAAACTCAAGGTGCACCTGGAAGGCAGGCAGACCAGGGCCTGGATTCCCACCACCATCCTTGCTTAGCTGTGCAGCCTTAGACAAGTAACGGCCTGTCTTTGAGCCTCTCAGGTCCCTTGCCTGTAGAAGGGGGCAGCGAATGCCTAGCCCACAGGCTCCTCAGGAGACTCAGCTGGAGAAGGTGAACGGAGACCTACGCACAGGGCCGGGCCCACAGAAGATGCTCCTGAAATAGCTGATGAAAGGGAAACGATGCCCCCCCACCCCCGGGAGAGTCACGATGTGGTCAGCCTCTTCTGTAGGTGGGCCCCACAGTGAATAAGACAGGAAGTTCTCAGCTCTCATGGGGCTTCTATTAGATAATGAACAAGAAGATGCTGATTCAAAGAGTGACAGGTGCTGAGACAGGGGGATGTGATAGTAGTGCCTGGACGCAGGGGGCAGGGGTGGGGGGAGTACCTGCTCTCAGTGGTGACAAGGACCCCTGACTTCAGATATCCGAAGGGCTTGCAGGTGGCAGAAGGGTGAGGTGATCTGAGCGTTAGTGTAAGGAAGCATGTCACGAATTTTCAGATCATGAGTGCTGGCCAACCAGGCGAGGAAGCACCTTGGGCCTCGGGGAGTTAGTTTCCCATCGGTAGGTACCCGCTGCTGAGGAAGCTGGTGCTCAGGCCCCTGGGGGAGCCAGTTGGGGGTTTAGACCACACAGCTTTTGGGGTTCAGGGTGACACCATAGTTTAGTGATTTTTACAATCACTGTTCATTTCTCCACCAGCTTCGTCAGCAACCATTTGTTCAGTCTGCACTCACTGGTGGGACAGCTGTACGACCGACAGGCACTCTGCTGGGGCAGTGGGTAAAGCAGGAAGAAATGCAACGGTAATTTAGGCTAGAGACTGCCGACAGGGGACCAGCAATGGCCCACACACATGTTCCGCTTGGCTGGGAAAGTGAGTGCCAGTTTAACATCAGGAGTTGTCACATAAAAACCCAAAATTCTGGCTTCTCTGTAAGAAGTCAGAAGACCTGGCCACTGCTGGGGCCGAGTGGAGGCTGCCCCCTGCCCAGGTCCACTCAGCCCCAAGCCCTTGCCCTCTCTAAGTCACCCAGGTCCTCACCTCACTGTTAGCTCTCAGTATTAGCCATCTCACACCTGCCCTGATTTGCCAATTATTAACTGGCTGGCCTCTGGTGGCACTTGACACTGTCCCCGCTCCTGAGTCTTTGACAATGAAAAGGCACTTTCTCCCACAAACAGTCCCACTAGCTCTAAATTAATCAACACCAACTTTGTGCCAGACTTTTTCACGTGGTATTTTTTTAAGACTTTATTTTTTTTGTAAAGAGGGAAAGAGAGGGAGAGAAACATCAATGTGTGGTTGTCTCATGAGCCTCCAACTGGGGACCTAGCCCACAACCCAGTCATGTGCCCTCACTGGGAATTGAACTAGTGACTCTTCAGTTCACAGGCCAGCGCTCGATCCACTGAGCCACACCAGCCAGGGCTCACATAGTATTTCATTTAATCCTTACAACAACCATAAAAACGTGAGTATATGAACCCCATTTTATAGATGATGAGGGCCTGAGAAGCAAAGCAACTTCCAGCCTCGCAGCTGCTTACAGGCAGGCTCAGCTTGAAAGTGAAGACAACCCCCATAGCCAACGATTTCCCGTTGCACTGCAGGGCCTCCGTGTCCTGAAGAGGGCAGCTTAGTCAGTTGCCCCAGCCCAAGCACCTGCTGCCAAGTGCGGGCATTCTTCCCCTGGTGCTGAGTTCCAGCCTCATGCGCTGCTAATAGCTCCAGGTCAATTAATGCATTCGTTTCTCTGCTTTATCGATCAGCCTCTTGTGAGTTTGACTAATACGAGCTAGTTCACTCTAGCGACCTGAGACCTGATCACTCTGCGTGGTTGGAGAGAGCCAGACTTCTGAAGCAAGCGGGAAGCAGGTCAGGATGCAAAGACCTCGTAGACCTCTATCCGTGGCAAGATGACAGGAGAGGTCTTTGAAGTGTAACCCAGCTGCCCACTTTTCCAGACAAGTCAAGTGAGGCATGGGGAGTGGGACAGGAAAAACATACCCACTAAGTCAGTAATGAAGTTGGGCTCAGGAGCCAGGGAAAACAGTGTCTCCCCAAGTGTGGTGTGCGTAGCAGGCGGGGTGCTCACAGTGGGTTTAGGAGGCACATGGAAGCTATTTAAACAGGTACCAAAACACATATGTGATACACACACAAATCTATATATCCATATGTATATAAATGTCTGTCAGAAACATGTATGCACATGCATGTATTAGAAACATGTGTGTGCAATACATGTGTGTACATGTGTAAGTAACACCAAACCCAAGATTCCAAGGACAGTACACTTTAAAATAAGGCCAGTTACTTTTTTAAGTGGGTTGATTTAAAAGAAAGTATTTAGTAAATAACAGCACCTCTGGCACACAGAACTAGTAAAACCATGATGGTGAGCTACAGATGACTAGGTCTGAGAAACACTGGAAAAACGGGGTCAAGGTTAAGCATTCTGCCTCTGGAGTCAAGAGCAGAGCTCGATCCGGGCTCCACTAGCTGTGCTGCCAGAACCCAGAGGCCCTGGCACCTCACCCGGGAAAGGCGGATAATGGCGGCGGCCCCTTGCGAGGCTGGCTCTGAGGACTGCCGAGCACACAAACACCCAGAAAATGATCCCGTTTTCTTCGTCTCCCAGGCAGCGAGCCCTTCCCACTCTGCTGCTTCACCTTCCTGCAGCTGACAGACACTTTCTCCAAGACGCCTACAGGACCGGGCTCTAACGGGCCGTCTTGTCTTGTCTACATCTGGACTCCTGCAGGAGGACGCGAAACTGAAGTTGGTCAGGGACAGATGTCTAGGGCAAAGGTTCCGGAGTCAGAGCTAGGACTGAATCCTCACTCGGCTTCGTATTTATTAGCTGTGTGACCTCAGGCAAGTTCCTTAGCATCTCTGAGCTTCAGTTTTCTCTCCCATCAAGGGATTAATAGCACATCACACCATACACTTACATCACAGATTTGTTGTGAGGACGATCTAACTAGCAAATAGTAATTGCTTGATGAACTTTAGCCGTTGTTCTCTTCTCTGGGCACTTAGGCCGGACACAAAGTAGCCATAACTGAACTGCTGCTGCCTAAATTCTGAGCAACAAAATCCTCTTTGGCTGTGACACCCCTACAGGTGGGTCAACCACAGGGTACACCTCGACACAGGGACAGCAGAAAGCACCGAGAAGACGGAGGGTGTAGCCAGGGAATGCCAAAGCCGACGCTAATGAAGAGCTCAGTAGTGAGCTCCACGTTTGTTAAAGCAGGGGTCCCCAACCGGTACTGGTCTGGGCCCATCAGGACCCGGGCCGCACAGCAGGGGGTGAGTGTGAATGTACCGCCCTTGGATCTTCCTGAAACCATCCCCCTGACCTCCCCCCATGGGAAAACTGTCTTCCACGAAACCGGTCCCTGGTGCCAAAAAGGTTGGGGACCACTGTCAGTTAAATGACATCATCCGGTGCTCACATCATTGTATAGACTTAAAGATCCAGAGAGGGTAGGTGACTTGCCTAAGGTCACACAGCAAATGCTGGCAAAGCAGGGTCCAGAACAGAATAACAACCCCCCACCGGTTGTCTTGAATTTTGCGATCCTGCTCTCATTTCATTCTCACAACAGCCCTGGAATAAGGAGTGTTGGTGGCTTAGAGTGGCTGAGGTGTTAAGAAGTTAAGTAACTGGCTCCCATCAGCCAACCAGCCCAGAGCAGAGTTGGAAGTGAAGCCGCTGCCTATTTCCACACACCATGGGGACACGGATTCCTGGGCTGATTCCATGTTCTCAGGACTCTGTAGAGAGAGAGGCTCAGACCACAGTGAATGTGGCTTCAAGGAGCAGAAAATAGGCATTTTTCATAGGGCAGCAGGTCTAAGGCCAAATAGGATACAGCACCCCCAGTATGATGTCTCAAGGACTGAGGTGGGAGACCCTTGAATGAGAGACAGGTGAGGGCAGAGAGACATGTGCCGGGCCATCAGAGAGTAGACAAGTAAGTTCTGAGACTAAGAGGAGAGTTCACTTTGGTCACCTCCAGTGACCCCAAATACCCAGGCTCAGATGCACACTCACTCTGGGCAACTCAACACACCAGGTGGACACCTCGCACCACATACAAAACTTAACTCTGATTGGGCCACAGATCTAAAGGTAAGTGCTGAAACTATAAAACTCCTCGGAGCAAACACAGGCGTAAGTCTTTGTGACCTCCGATCAGGCGATGGTTTCTTAAACATGACACCAGAACACAAATGGCAAAAGAAAAACGACACAGATTGGACTTCACCAATATTGAAAACTGGTGTGCTCCAAAGGACACCATGAAAGTGTGAGGATGACACACAGTGGGAGAAAAATTTTGCAAATCACTATCTTACAGAGGACTTGTATCTGGAATATAAAGAACTCTTCCAACTCAATAATAAGAAGGCAAATGATGTGATTACAAATGGGCAAAGGATCTGAATAGATGTTTCTCCAAAGAAGATCTGCCCATGACCAAGAAGCACACGAAAAGATCCCCAACACCACTTGCCATCAGGGAAACGCAGGCCAAAACCACAAACAGTAACGCTTCATGTCCACTAGAAGGGAGACAATAAAAAAAGATGAGTAATGGCAAGTGGTGAGGATGTGGAGAACTGAAACCCTCATACACCACTGGTTGGGGAGATAAGCTCTTGCAGCCACTTCGAAAAACAGCCTAGCCATTCCTCAAAGGGTTAAACAAAGAGCTTCCCAATGGCCCAGCGATTCCACTCCTAGGCATACACCTAAGGGGAAGGAAAGCATATGTTCAAACAAAAACTTGTACACAAATAGGCGCACTATTCCTAAAAGCCGAAAGGCGGAAACAACCCACAAGGCCACCAGCCGAGGAATGGATAAGGATGAGGAAGGCGTGGCAGATCCATACAACGGAGTGTTAGTCGCCATGGGAAGAAACCGAGTACGGCATGTGCTACAATTAGAGACAAAGCTCGAAAACATCTCGCCAAGTGAAACAAGCCTACCACCGAAGACCACATACTGTAAGAGGCCATTTATAGGGAATGCTCGGAACAGGCAGACCTATGACAGAAGGTAGACCAGTGGTTGTCTAGTGCTTGGGAGTAGAGGGGCGTGAGGAGAGTGGGTCCTGCTAATGGGCACAGGGTTGCCTTTGGGGTAAAGAAAATGTGCTCAACTTGGCTGTGATGATGGTTGCACGACTCCAAATAGACCACAGGCCATTACGTCGTACACTTTATTTTTGGTTGTTGTTTTCCTTGGCAGGCATTAAGTATATGTATTCAACTGCAACTATTTCTTCAAAGATGATTTCTTTATTTTTAATAGTTTTATTTTTCAATTTTTCATTAGGGTTGGCAAACAATATTATACTCATTTCAGGTGCACAATATAGTGATTAGACATTTCTATACCTTATGAAGGGACCACCTGATCAGTCTAGTACCTCTGTGGCACCATACATGGTTATTACAATATTATTGCTTATATTCCCTGTGCTGTACTTCATATCCCCGTAACTATTATTAAGTTGTATAGTTTAAGTGCATAAACTGTAAGGTGTATGACTTATATCTTACTCAAGCTCTCGTCCATATTTTTTAAAAACTTAGGTGGGAGGATGGGCAGCAAAAGAGAAGCAGGAGTTTGGGGGGTGATGGGTCTGTTTTAAGTATCGATTATGGTGATGGCTCCTGAGGTGCACGAGTGTGTCAAACCTCATCAAAATGTGTGATGCGACGTCATCTTCAATATAGTTGATTTATAAAAAAAAGGTGGCGAAGGCAGGAAGAAGCTGCTAGGTTGGCAGTGGCGGCACCAAGGCCACAAGGACAAGTCCTCTCCGGTGTCCACGGTAAACAACTCCAAGGGGACCTGGGCTCCCCCACCTCCATTTGCCAATGGGGCTCTGCCAAGCCCTTCTAGCTTTCTGCCTGGTTCTCTCAGCTACGCTGGAACGCCCATCACTTCATCCCAGACCTGCTCCCACTGGCCCAGCTTGCCTTCCCATGCCAGGTGCCAGCTCTAGTCTCTACTCTTCCAGCCCCAACACTGTGCAACTGGCGCCACGCCTCCATGCCACCTGCTGCTTCCTTACAGATAACCACGGCAGGGGGGAAACAGCCCCTGGTAGAGCCTGGGCTGCCCAGAGCAGAGACCAAGACCTCCCCAGCGCCACCCCAAGACCTCAGCCCTCTCCCACAGTCAAGGCTGGTGCCCAGAAGGAGCTGAATTGAGGGACCGAGTAAAGCCAAGAAGACACAAACATTTATCAAGCACCACTGGCTCTCACAGCACTCCCATGGGATAAACATGATTCTTCCCGTTTTTCAGACCAGGCCATTGAACCTCAGTGTTGTAAGACACTCACTGATGTCACCCAGATGGTAAAGTGGTAGAAGCTGGAATTCAAACCCAAGCTGGTCTTCCTCCAAGAGCCTGTTTCACAATGTGGAGCCTGGAGGAAGAGAACGAGGGGAAGGGCCGAACTCCAGGTCCATCCAGGTCCTTCGGTTGACCTTGCAGGGCACAGCCCTCCTTCTCAGAAAAGGAAAATGCCCTTCCAGCTGTTTTCTTAGAAATGGAATGCACCCTGGCTAGTGTAGCTCAGTGGATTGAGCATGGGCTGTGAACCAAAGTGTCGCAGGTTCAATTCCCTGTCAGGGTACATGCCTGGGTTGCGGGCCATGACCCCCAGCAACTGCACGTTGATGTTTCTCTCTCTCTCTATCTCCCTCCCTTCCCTCTCTAAAAATAAATTAATAAAATCTTAAAAAAAAAAAAGAAATGGAATGCTAGAATTCCTACCTTCTAGTCACACCAAGTCAAGGTTATTGAAATGGAAAATAGGAACTATCCACAATGCCTTGCCTAGAGGAAATACGGCTCGTCTTAACTTGGTACACATGGGTGATTTGAAGACCTGGGGGCTCAAAGGTCCTGAAAAAGGAGTGCAGGTCCTTTAAGGTCAACCCACTTTGTCGGCTCTGCTGTGCCTGTTTAGCCTGCAATAGTCAGAAGTCCCTCACCAGTCAGCTGCAGCACTTCCCCTTCTACAAGTCTCCATCTTGCTCTAGACCTGAGGCTGCTGACGACCTAGGACTCTGCCCGTCAGCCCAGGAGCTGCATGCCCAGCAGGGTACGGGGCATTCAGTGAAAACTGAACTAGATGAACCAGGCAGAGTGGGCAGACAGCCGCCCATTCTCTAGATGAAGTTTGAACAGGTTCAGGAAGCAGCCAGTCCAACTTGTGTCCAGTGGTCCAGTTTAAGGAGCCCTGCTTTCTGTCCACTCAGCCACCTGTCCTTCCCCAGTGTCCACCATCCCCCCTCTGCCGCTCCTCTCCCAGCCCCACCGGCCCCTTCTTGGGCATACCTTCGCACAGGCTGGAATAAAATCCCTCGTTCTTGAGCATGATCAGCAGGGAGCCCCAGCCCAGGAGTACGGCAGAGAAGAAGAGATTCTCCAGCACAGCCGTGCAGGCCATCCACCAGCGCCTCCGGTACGCCTGCTGCAGCGTGGGGGCCATGCTGGCCAAGAGCCTGCACAGGAACAGAGCGCAGAATGGAGGGCCCCCCAGCGGCCCCTGGGTAAGGTCCTCCATCGTGGTGGCTCTTGAAACCCCTCGAGCCAGCCCACGAGGGGACCTTCAGGGTGGCCACATAGATCCCTGAGCTTCTCAGAAGGGACAGCCGAGCTGGCTCTGGGCGCGCTGGCGGTGCCAGGGGCGCGCGCAGCCCTGAGCTCCCGCCAGGCCACTATCGGAAACAAGAAAGGTCCTGTCTGCGCGCAACAGCTTCCTGGCGCGCTGCCAGGCTCTTCCACCCAGGACAGAACGCTCAGAGCCCCGCTCCCAGGGGCCAAGCCCTCACTATCCCAAGTCCCCAAAGGTCAGCGAGAGGCAGAGCGCACTCTGAAGCCGCCAGTGACCAGTATCCGGCCTCCCGCGCTAGGAAGGACCCCCCAGAAGCAGCGGAAGGAGGAAGGGGAAATCTGCCTCTGGCCTAAGACACCCCTCTTCCTGTTGCCCCTATAAGACCGCGCCTCTCCTCTGGGACTGGGCGACAGCTAGCCCTCCCCTACCCCGCACCAGGCGATCCGCGTCCCTACACGCTCTCAGTCCAAGCCAACAGCTGCCACGTGGACCGAGACCCAGGGCGGGCCCAACTGCGCCCTTGGCGCCCTGGGGCGCCCCGGGGCGCCCCTCACTCACTCAGGGCGCGGAGCCCCACGCTTCGCGCCTCGGAAACCGCCCTCCGGCTCCTGCCCCGGGAGGGGGCTCGGCTCCGGCAGGAAGTCCGGCGCCCGCTGACTTTATAAGGGCAGTGGCCGCTGATGGGCCGGCTGGCGGGTGTGTTTACCAGAGAAAGAGAAGAAGCCCGAGCTCCCCCCGCCTCGGCCGCGGCTGCCACCGCGGGAGGAGATGGGACCGGGCGGCGCGGGGGCGGGGGACGGCCAGCGGGATGAGACCAGGGGAAGCGGAGAGAAGTGGGACGGGCAAGGGCAAGGGGTGGGGGGAGGAAAGCAGGAGTCGCTTCTCTGGGGACCTCAGTACCTCCATCCGAGAAATGGGACTTTAGATCCGGACGCCCGGGCAGGTCCGTTCAATCCCAAGGGAGTCGCTGGGAGCAGAGGAAGTGCGGCCAGAAGGGCCCCAGAGGAGGAGGGGACGGGAGGGAGCCGAGCAAAGCGGAGGGCGGGACGCGCTGGAAGAGACTGAACGAGGCGCCGCCAGACCCCAGGGCGCAGGTAACGGGTTTTTCTCGGCGAGTCTGGGAGTGTCGGCGGCAGCCGGCCCCCGCGGCTCTCCGCGGACGCGCGGCCGGGGACCCCGGAGCCCTCCCCGCTGCTCACCTCAGGTGGGGGGCAAACGCCCCTCCTGCAGCCGCGGACGCCTGTGGGGCGCAGCGCCTTGGCGGCGCGTGCACGTTCTCGGGGTCCCGTGTCCGGCTGGCCCAGCCGGGACCGGCGCCGGCGCTCCTCGCTTCTCAGCGTGCCGGGCCCCCGCCGCCTCCGGGGCTCAGCCCGGCACCTCGGTGCGCTCACCCCCTCTGCCCTCTCGGAACAAGTCACGGAGCTGGGAGCCCTCCGCCGACACCGGCCCGGGAAGCCGGGCAGGGACGAAGTAGAGCCACGGCGTTGATACTTGTATTTATACCAGTCCGGGGCTGCACCCCGAGGTAGGGGCGGGGGCTCCCTTCCCTTCCCCTCCTCCTAGGTCAAGTTTCACACACACGTGACTCGCACTCTGGTCCCCGGCACCTAAAATTTCCCCCCGTCACCTCTCCCCCTCTGCACCCCCTCCCCCAGACCAAACCCGCAGCGCCCTCTCTATCCTTGATCAAAACAACCAGAGGTTTGGCTGGAGCGGACAGGCCGGGACGCTGGACAGGCTTGGGTGGGGTTTTTAACTGTGCAGCTGGAAGTAATGTTTTTCAAGACGCAGAACGATACCGATTGCTTCAGAGTTAGATGGAGGTCTGAGTTTGGAAACTGATTGGCCTGGGTTACCTTGGGCCGCTTGCTTTACCTGTCTAAGCCTTGGGTTCCTCCCCTGTAAATTGGAATAACCGCATAGCAGTACCTGCCTACCTGCCTACCTGCGGGAAAATGGCAGATGGAATTGGGGGTTCTGGTACAGGTGAAATGCTCAGAACCGGGCTTGGTACCTAGTAGGCATAAAAAATGTTCATTGTTGCTGCTGCTGCTGCTGTCATTATAATTTTCAGAAGGCCTGGTGATGGGATGCTTCTAGACACTTATTAACTGATTGATTCCTAATACATTTCTCAACTTCCTGGGCCTGTTTCCTCATCTGTAAAAGGGAAGGTGTCACTGCTGGGACGGGCATGTGCATGGATGAGGTGACAAAGGCAAATCAGTAGAGAGCTGAGCCGCGTGCCGTGTGTCGAAAGCAGCACTGGTGGTAGCCACGGAGCGCTTGGCCACGTGAGCAACTGCCCAGGGCGGTCCGAGAAGACGTCAGGCAAGAGGGCATCTCTGAACAGCTGCATCACCAAGCCAAGAGAGGAACTCAGATTTGCTGAGTGACTACTATCAGCCAGGCACCTCCCAAACAAACACTGTCATTAAATCCTCAAAACATCATGGTCTCACTGAAACCTCACAACTTTCCGCAGACGGAGAAGGCTGGTGGCTGGCAGGTGGAACGCGGCTGGCAGAGGCAGGATGCAGACTCAGACCTCTCCGTCTTCCTCGTCTTCCTCGAGTGGCCCTTGCCATTCCTCAGGGTCCGGAGGACGGCGACCGACAGCTAAGGCCTCGCCGCGGGAAAGGCACAGGGAGTTCTCCCTGGCAAGAGCACAGGGTCCGGCTCTGATGGTTTCAGTTCTTCCAATTCATTGCTGGCTCCCTGAACTTCCAGATCAAGGTCAAACTCCTTAGCTTAGCACCAGGGGCACGAGAATAAAGGTTCTAACCCAAGATGGTCATGGATCCCTTGGAGAAGCAAATAACATGTTATGTGTGAACTTGAGCACACATACACATTTTTCCACTCAGATTTTGCTTTCCACGGGCTCCAGGGGTCCACGGACACCCCAGGGCCATCACACTCGACCTCCCCCAACCCACAGGTCCATGTCTTCTCCCAGTACACTGCCAGCTCCCTGAGGACAAGGGCCCGGCCTGCTGTGTTCACTGCCGTATCTCCAGCTCCTGCAACAGCACTTGGCATCTAAAAGGCGCTCAGTGAGCACCTGTGGAATGAAGTGTGAAGCCTGGTTTCACACCTCCTTGCCCTTGCACCTGTTCTTCCTGTGGGGATGAGAGAGTCCCTTCTTCATCTCTAAGGTCCTCGTCCTTTAGAACTCAGCTCAAGTTTTACCTCTTTCTGGAATTTGCCTGATCTCTTAGACCGGCTTAGGGACCCTGCGCCCACACTCTCTATTCTAATCTCTGCTGAAGCCCTCCGTCACTCTGATCTAGAACCATCGGTTTACCTGCCCACCTCCCTCCCCATGATATATAAGTCTCTTGGGGGCAGGAACCACATTGTAGGTGTTTGTAAACCTTTCACAGGACCTTGTGTGTCACAAGCGCATGGCAAACATTTGTTAAACAAATAAAACAGAGTGGTGGGAAGTGGAGCTGGAAAAGCAGGCTGAGGTCAGTTGGGAATGACCTCTGCAAGGCCAAGGACTCCCAGTGCTGTGAGACAGGTGATCTTGGGTTTTGTTTTCTTGTTTTCTTGTTTTCTTTGGCTCTGTTTGTTTTTAAGGAAGGGGACAGACACGGCCGGGCTTGCGTGTGCAATGGATGGAGGAGGGGACACTGGAAAGGGGAGAGGCTCTGAGTCCCCGGACACTACCCGCAGTTTGAGGAGAACGGCGTTATCGTGCGGGATCTCCTGCGGGCTCCTCCTGGCTCCAAGCTGCTTCACAGCCCAGTGCACAGCAGTGCTAGCTCAGGAGTGACACAGGCCAGGTCTGGATTCTGGCTCTGCGGCTGGTTAGTTCAGCAATTCTGCCCAAGGCACTTTCTTCTTCCAGAGCCACCTCTTCTGGTCTGTTAAGTGCCAAAAATAATAGTGAACTGGGTGCCTGGACCCCATTCCAACATTGGGGGTGACCCCCACGCCAACACACAATTCTCAGACACCAGCAGGGAGTAGAAGAATTCAACTAAATTCTGACACTATCTACCCAGAGATAACATCAGATTCCACAGGTTAAGGGTTCAGCCCTACAAGGCCTCCCCCCTCCAAACACACAGACTTCAGACGCCAGCCCTAAGCCCAGGCTCTCTGTGCGTCTGACCAACTGGCTACACCCTGGAGGTTGCAGGGATCCCCTCCAACTCAGAATACCAGTCACAAGTCCGGGTTGTCACCTGGGCCTCTGACCTGACTGGCTGTAAATCATAGGTTCTACATCCCCCTCCATGAGTTCCATGACTTTGCTAGAAAAGTTCACAGAATTTAGAAAAACCTGTTACTGGCTAGATCACTAGTGTATTGTGCCAAAACTCAGGAGCAGCCAGATGGGAGAGATGGATAGGGTAAGGTATGTGGAAAAGGACGTGAAGTGTTCACGCCCTTCCAGACCTGCTTCTCGGCCCGAGTCCGCATGTGGTCGCCACCCAGAAGCTTCCGGAACCCTGTCCTCTTGGGTTTTTAGGGAGGCCTCATTACATAGGAAGGATTGATTAAATTGTTGAACATAGGCAATTGATTCAACCCCCAGCCTCTCTCCCCTCTCTGGGAGTCAGGTCAGAGGAGGGAGGAGGGTGGGACCGAAAGTTCCAGCCCTCTAGTCATGTGGTCGGTTCTCCTAGCAAACAGCCCCTGTCCTGCGGAACTGCGGAATGGAGTTCACCTCATTCACATGGCAGGAGACACCTGTTTCATTCTCAACACTTAGGAAATCCCAGTGGTTTGCGGGAGCTGTGAGCCAGGAACTGTGGATGAAGTCCAGATATAATGGGAAATACAGTTGGGTCATCAGAATGACCACACGTATATTTCTTTTTTTTTTAAGATTTCATTTATTTATTTTCAGAGAGGGAAGGGAGGGAGATAGAAACATCAATGTGCGGTTGCTGGGGGTCATGGCCTGCAACCCAAGCATGTACCCTGACTGGGAATCGAACCTGTGACACTTTGGTTCGCAGCCCACACTCAATCCACTGAGCTATGCCAGCCAGGGCCTACGTATATTTCTTACAATATCTCAAATATCAGCCCATTTACCATGTAAGAAATTATTTATTCAGCCTAACAAATAGTTATTATGCATCTTTGCATGAGGAATGTAAATAGAATGGACACACTGCTTTGGAAAAGTTTGGCAGTTCCCCCAGATAATTGAACATAGAGCCATAGAGCCAGTAATCCACTCCTAGGTATACACCAGAGAGAATGGGGAACACACAGCAACACAAAAACCTGGACACAAATATGCATAGCCACGTTATTCACAGTAGCCTAAAAGTGCAAACAACCTAATTGTCCATCAGCTGACGGGTAAACAAAAGGTATGAATGATAATATGCAGCATATTGTTTGGTCATAAAAAAAGAGTGAAGGACTGATACATGTTACAAGATAGATGAACCTCGAAAACATGAGGCTCAGTGAAAAGAGCCAGACCCCAGAAAGCCCACAGACTGTGTGAAGTGCCCGGAACAGGCAGGAGCAGCACGCGGGTGACTGCCGTGAACTGAGGGAGGGAAAATGGGACGAGATTGCTGTTGGGAACCACCCTGACTGGTATCAGAAGCTGTAACCCTCGCCTAGGCTAAGGCTAAGGGAACACCGTTGGAACCGTAAGCCAGCAAGGAGACAAAAGCTTAACTCCCCCGGCAGGAGTGCTGCTTCTGCTGCTTCATTCATAACTGAACCCCAAAGCTTGGTTGGTTAGCCAGTGATGGGTAAGATTCCCCACGGGGTGGGGACAATCTAAGACAGGCACGATCACGTGGGAGGCACCCAAAAGAAGGACTTGGGGGGCTGCAGCAAAAGGGGGTGATGGACCCTCGCTCCTCGGCTTTGACAGAGCCTGAGTTCTCAGCGTCTGGGAGAAAACCTTGTCTCCCAGTTGCCTTAGTTCCCTTGCTCCACCTAAGCCTGAAACAATGACAGGGTGGTGCAGCTCTGTGCTGAAAAGGGCGGATTCCCCGGGTGATCAGGCCTAAGAAAAATATGTAAATTACTGTGAAACCTTCTTTGTTTAGAATGCTCTCAGTTGAATGAGAAGGGTCCAAGGAGAAAGTTAGTTTGTTCCTCAAAGTCTTACAGCTCTTTGACCCCGACTCAAAATAGACCAGCAGAGTTCCTTGTTATCTATTGTTCCTTACTTCCCCCTAATGAGTATTGTACTTTACCTGAATTATTATGCAAAACGAGCCCAATAAAAGCAGGTTTGGATGGTAAGTCAGCACGCTCCCCACTAGAGGGGGTGACCATTCCGTCCCTACTTCTCCACAGAAACTAGTCTGTCTCAGTGCATGTTTTTTCTCGCGTTTTGTCGAGCCTTCCACAGCGTTCCGTGATCACTACTGGCTGGTGACCCACGCATCAGATTGCCAGCAGGGATGAGGCTTCTTCCAGGGGAAATGAGAATGGTGTGCCTTTGGATGGTGGTGATGGTTGCACGACTTTGTGACTACTAAAATCCACTGAATTTTGCACTTTGCAAGAGCG